GAAAGCTGGAAGTCGCTCTCCCTTGTCCAAGACAAGAAGCGGCCAGTCCAAAAGTCCTCGTGTACCGGGCACCGCCGCCAACCATGCCCACAGCCCCAGCCAAGCCAGCATCCCCGGCACGGGTGCCGCAACGTCTCAAGTACCTGGTGTCGTTGAGGTTGGTGATTCTTGTGTGTTTTGGTACTGCGTGCGATTTTGCTATGGTGTCTGTGATGTTGCTTTGTAATATTGTGCCTTTTCCTTGCTGCTGCGGCTTCTGCTGCTACTGCTGCAGATGCTGTTGCTCTTGCTCTTGCTGCTGCTCCTACACCTGCTACTAATCATGTGGTTCCTCTTGCAACAGACTGCCGTTGCAGCTGAGTTGTTGTCATGCTTTTGCTGCTGTTGGTGTTGTGGTTGTTTGTTGTGGTTGCGGTTGTTGTCCCTATTAATCTACTCATCCTGTTCGAAGAATCATATTGTCGTGTTGTTCTTCTTGTTATTGTTATTAGTTATATTGGTATTGCTGTTCCTAGCCTAGGGTGAGTGGTGGTATGGTTGTTAACCTGTTCTTGTTATTGGTATGTTCTTATTATCTCTCTCCTGGCTGTTGTGCAACTAGCGATTATTACTACATGTGTTGTCGTCTTCTTGCTCTTATCCACCCTACTTGCGTGGTTGTGATTGCTCATGACTCCAAGAGGAGCTGCAAAGCCAAGGTGCACATTCCTTAGATCCATATTCAGAGACAAGCACTTCAAAAATCGCAGAACGTAGACGTCGCTGCCCACCAGCTGCATCATGCTCCTCGGCTCTCGATTCAATCATGCCCATGGATACATGTCCATACTTGCTTCTTGTACCCTCGGCAAAAGCAGAAGCATTCAGTGTTGGCGCCACAAAAAAACAAGCCGAGATTCACTCTGCTGTCAGCGAAGGAGCCCATGGCGATCGTCTCCCTCTGAAGACCACAGGCGTCGATGGTGGCCTCGATTGCAACAGCAAGCTGAGAACACAAGGCAAAGCAAGTATGACTGCAAGAGAATCAGCATCAACAAAACAACAATACCGACAAAAAGAAACAACACCAGCAAGAGCAACAACACGAACAAGAACAAGAATAAGGAACACACCAACAAAGGCAACAACTACAACCATCATTCATAACCTACAGTTGCAGATGTGACAGACAAAACCCTCACCATCGGCGAGGGGTACAACTTGAGCCACCTGCACAAGCAGAGGCTCCATCAATCTGAATGTGCAACGACAACAACCTGGAACAAGCAGCATGCCGTGAGGACAACACACTTTCAGGGTTGATGCGAACAATCGGAGCCGAGATGCGAGAAAGTCTGACGTTGCGAACATGTGCGAATGCTGCGGCTGCTCGACGATGGAGAAGGCCCTCACGTTGAAGCACAGCTGCACAAGCTGACTCATCAAAGCCTGAGTTCGCTTAGCGTCCAATGAGAAACCCCTGGCTTCGCCTTGCAAATTGCTTCCAGATATTCTAAAGTCTAATTGTAGCAAGAGACGGCCACACCATTCCCCTGCACCACCAAAGGTACACTCAAATCGCCATCGGCAAAGTCATGCCTCCGCCTTGGATTTCCAGGGTGACACTGCTGCTTCCATGCGGGTCTATCACAAGCTACGAAACCCAAAGCCAAGCGGCGTCACTCGGAACCGCTCCCGCATGAAGGAGGCATGGTATGGCGACAGAAAGCAGAGTCCTCCCACCCGAAGCCGCAAAATGTATCCAAGACCTTGGCTTGGTGGGAACACAGTGCACAAGATCGCAAGTTTACTTCAGTGGTTCCTGTCTGCCGAGCAGCACTCCATAAGCTGCTCCTCGCTGCCCAGGTCGCCATAAACAAGAGCTGTACGGATCCCATCCTGGGCTGTATGATTCGGTGTCGCTCCCAACAATAAATTTGTTGAGGAACCACAGACCACAGACCCAACATAATATCAGTGTCAAAAGCAACATCAACAAGGAGAACAACGACGACTGCACAAGCCCTCATCGATCATCATCGTCAACACCAAGAACAAAATCCAGGTCTACCCCTACCACTACCACTACCACTGCCCCTAGCACCAGCACTATTGGCGGGACTGGCACTACCACTATTATCACTTGCACCGGGACTAGTATAGACGTGCTAGTACTACCAATGGCTGTTACTAGCACTGCTGCCACTGCTCCTCGTGCTAGGACGACTACTACAACTTCTGCTACTAGAGCTAATACTACTATGACTACTATTTCTAGTACTAGTGCTAGTACTAGTAGTTCTACTATTGGTACTATTACTACTACAACAACAACAACTTCTACTACTTCGACGACGACTGCTACATCAAAACAAGACCCAACTCGACTTCCGAAGTAGTGGGCACTACTATACATAACGAGATCTTCAGCAACGGCAACCAACAACTGCAAAGACAATGCCAACATCACGAGCACTACGACCACTGCAGCCACTGGCACTGACTCAAATGACACACCCAATTCAGTAAATCCTTAAAATGGCGGATCATCCGCGAGCTTGGAGCCTGCAGAAGATGTTTCCGCGGATACTCCGCGACTGCTGTCTGTGCAAGGCAAACCACCCCCGGATCTCATTATGAATCGCGGACAGTCCGCGTAGATGTGAGTCTCGCGGCTGTGCCGCGTGAATGAGAGATTCGCGGACAGTCCGCGTGATTGTGAGATTCGCGGATAGTCCGCTTGATAGCAGAAGATGTGCGGAGGTTCCGCAACAAGTTGAAAGCAGACCTCCCCACCCACCCAATTCTCCCATTGGTCTCCAATTCAGTCAAGGCTCGGAGGCCTCGAAGTAGCTGCAGAGCTCCCTCTTGCCATGCTCGAAGCACACGTGCAGAAAGTCCAGATTCCTGCCCTCGCCACGCAGCTGGAGCATATGGATCTTTGGCCGCCAAGCCGGCGGCAAACCATGAAACAGCACCGCATCCTCCATCCCTTCTACTTTCAAGCACTCGCGGCTGAAGCACTCCACAAGGTTACTGCAAAGCAAGCCCAAGTTGAAGCAGAACCATGAAATGAAGTAGAACGGCTCTCGAAGGAGACCAGGTTTGGGCCCCTATGATTAATCACGGGATTGGGTTCAGGACATCAGCGCTTTAGGAGGTTAGAAATTGCGGCTTTTTGCAGGGGTTTCAACCCTTCGCACCCCAAGACGGCTTTTTGGCTGAAACTTTTACTCCTTTGGCACATAGCTTTTCGGGCCCTGCGCTTTTTATGTTTACACGTAAGTTTGCGCCTAGTCGGGGCAACACTCCCACGCCAAACCCTCAACCCCAAACCCTAATCCCCAATCGCCCCCACCTAGGAACCCTAAACACTTGAGCCTCAACACCTTCAACCCGCACACTCCAAAACCCGGTGATGTACACTCACAGTAAGAATACCGTTAGAGTTTAGGATCTAGGATAGGGTTTAGGGTTTAGGGTCTGGGATACTTTGTTGAACATGTGCGTGCATTGCTTGCTTGGAGGGTAAACCCTCCCTGACCTCTCAACCCGAAACTCTAGACCCCTCAGCCTCAAGCCCAAAGCATCTCAGCCCTGAACACCTCAACCATCCGAAACACCCGAAAGTGACCCAAACGACCAAAGACAAGCCTGAAGACATAGACAAGGACTCGTACGTCTTTTATGTGGTAAATGCGGCGAGATCCGCCTGGGTTGACAGCTGCGACGCAGCCGTGTCCGTAACCACGCCGTTTAGGACTTCCATTGTCTTGTTCACAATCACGACATCGTCTGTCAGCTTCATCAGGTCAAGATCGCTCAAGGAGAGGCGGACGTTGTCCTGCACTAGCTGTGGCAAGTTACTCATAGCCTTACGGTGCTCCACTTGCATATCACCCATTTAAGCACGTCCATTCTGCGCGCCTGAGCCAGCACTTTTTGACCCTGGTGCCCTTGATTTTCGGAAACTCCGAAACCCTAAACCCTAAATTCCATACCCTTTCAAGGAACCCTTATAGTAGTATAGATCCCTTGAAAGGAGCCCCTAATTTTGGCTTCCAGGTGTCACTGTGTCGGCAGCCCTCAACGCTGAGGATCCTATGGAACCCTTATAGAACCCTCATGCAACTGTAACAACTGAATGAAGTCTTTACCCTGGGCATCAAAATAGCCCAAAAGCCTTGTATAGTATGGTCTTTGGACCCAAAAGCCTTAAGAGATGAGTCCCTAGATGCCTAGGGTTAGGGAGCCCTAAAAGCGTGAACCCCGAACCCAAAACGACCAGACCCAAGCCCGAAACCCAAAACGCAAACAAACTCTCAGCCTCTGAAGCCGAAACCTTATAGAACCCTTGTGGACACCCTCTGAAACCCTTATATGGGAGCTTCCGAAAATAGGGGCCCATAATATGTAGCACCCCAGAAAATAGGATCGTTATCAAAAAGACACCCAAATAAGGTACCCCTAATTTTCGGAAACTCCCAGATCATTGTTGTGAAGCTCTTTATGACGTCAAGAGCTCTTACAACGGATCCACCTCTGATTAGTTATAGAAGTCCATTCAGGAACCCTAGGACATAAGCTAGAGCTGCCCCAAGCCCTAAATGCTTAACAGCTAGAACAGAGGGCATGAATAAGTGGAACAAGTCTTGCGGTGTAAATGTTGCTTTACAGGGGGTCTTTCAGGGTTACGAGAAGGGTTGTATACGGGCTGAATAGGGGGGCCTCATTAGTTGGAATCGGGAAAGGGGTGACTATACCATACTTGCAATCGGGAAGGAACCCGAAAGCCTCGCACTGGCAAATGTCTAAGCCCCAATGTTAGGCCCTGCACCCTTTTGCCGCAAGGCAGGGCTCACCAGCTCCATCTTTACACTGAGGGTTAGTAAGTAGGTTACAACCGGGATTATACAAGACTGAAGTTACAGGAACTAGTTGGAGCCAGTTTAATCATAGCTCGACTTATGACCTACCTGCTAAGTCTCCTGAGCCTGGCTGGTAAAATGTTAGGCTCCAGCCGATCGTAGCAGCACTCGAGGAACTTCTTCTGACCCTGGCCAGACCCAGCCATACTGTTGATGATATCAATCCTGCATTACCTTAAGGACCCTAAACTATGGGAATGATGGTATATCCCTTAAAATGGGTAATGCAGGATCTATATCATCAACCGTAGTGCGGGTTTCGGCTTTGGGATTTCGGGCTTGGGAGTTGGGGGTCTCAGGTTGACCATTTCAGAGTTTGAGTTTAGGGCTCTGTGCTTCTTTCTTCCAACGTGCATAAGGACGCCACGTAACCTAAAATAATTACACACAAGGCATTGTTTTGGCACCATAATTGCTTCATGGTGCTCGTCTTCCAGAGCACTGAGGTTTAGGGATTTGGGGCCTTAGCATACCCTTACTCAACTGGGCAAGCTCTACCTCGGTTTCCCAGAAAAGTATCCCGTCGAGGACCTAGCGCAAGCAAGGGTCGGGTCCAGGCTTCAGAAATCATTTTTCTTGTACTTGTTGTGTAACAAGTATATTCTTACAATCTAGTTTTGGGGCTTCGGGTGCAAGGGTTTAGGCTCTCAAAAGTTGTTGCGAGAAGAAGTAGACCGAACCCGCCCCTCTCCCCATAATCTTTACAACAGTCTTATGCCCCGTCATATTTCCCTTGTGGCACCTTCCAAACAGAGCACCCTAAACCCTAAACCCTGTGGGGCATGTATCATGTGCGGGGAGCCGGAAGTTCGCCTCTGCGGGAAGCTCCGGAAGGACCAGACAAACCCTGCCACTCCAAAACCCTGCGAGTCTGCAAAAAGAAACGTAGAGGCCTTCATGAACAGACTCGTATTCCTTCGGCTTCCTTGCTATAATAAGTATGCAAGAATGTACGCCAACACCCTCTTGTAGTAGCTTCCTTTGCCCTAGAGTAGGATTCAAGGAACTTGTTCTGTCTTTGAGGATTTTGGAGCTTCTGGGCACAAGGTTTTGGGGTTTAGGCGTCGGCACCACCGGCGGCCCCAAACTGAAATCCCTAAACCCCAAACCACACACGCCTGTTTGTCGTCTTCTGGGAACTTCAGGTAAGGCAGCGTGGTGCAGATAACCTTGGTCTCTTCAAGCGCTTAGTTGTTCAACTTGGGACGGTCAGATATTATGAGAAGAGCCAGCAACACAGATTCTAAATAGAAGGACTCTTGCAATGTAATTACAACAATGCGGACAGGACATCACGATTACAAGTTCAATTTTCTCATATGACTAGAGTCGGTTAGAGCTATACTTCTCGGGGCAATTTTTGTCAAAGGCTGGCGAATAGGCACACAAGGCCAGAAGCCTAACTCTCCAAGGGAAAAAGGAGGGACGCTTCATAAGGACCCCTGGGTATATACCCTTAATATATAGTTTGAATATACCCATTATATAGCCCATTATAGGGTAGGGGTCCCCATTAAGGGTCCCTCCTTTTCCACTTTGAAACTCAAAAATCTACACCTAAACCCGGAGTCTAAAGGGCCTAAACCCCGAATTTCTACACTTTGTAAGCCCTGCACCCCGAGTCGAAACTCCCTGAGTCCTAACCTTAAGCCTTGAACCAAGAACCGCAAGCCCTAAACTCTGAACAGCGAATCCAAAAAACGGAGAAACACAACAACATATACAAATGTATGCACTGTAATATACCATACACCAACAAAGTTTTAACCTTTTATCTAGTATGAGATGCCGCATAATATAGAAAGGAGCAGTCTAGTATCACATGATTAAGCGCTAAAACCTGAACCTAAAGCCTCCTGAGACACAATATAATGCATTATGTAGTATAATATGTCGTAAATAATATAGAAAACAACAGTCTAATATCAAATGCTTTCCTAGAGCCCTCAACTGCTGAATCCTGGAGCCAAAACCACACGTTAACGTGTCCAGGGGCCGACACTAAAGCCCCAAAAACACAGCTATTCCCATTTGGGTTCTTTTGAGGGTTCCTGTTGTGGGTTCTTATAAGGGTTCCTACTGAGTCTTTCTAAGGGGTTTTACAGGGTCATACCTATGGCTGCCCTATAGTTCTCTGAATTTAGGGTCCTTTGTTGGGTCCTTTTTGTGAGGGACGAATCGGGACATGTAGGGTTGACAATGCAGTTTCCTGGCGGGGCGAACGGTTAACTATGCTTAACTAACTTTGCGGTTTAGAGACAGAAAACAGACAGCTCCAACAACCCTAAACCCTTGAACCAACATCAACACATCAAAGGTCGCCTAGTCGCAATGACTGACAGCAGAACGAGGCCTCGAACCAAAAAGAATCCAACAATGTCCCTACCTACAGTTTAGGGTTTAGGGTTTAATGTGCTTGAGGTCCTATCAAGGTGTGGGCTTCATTGCTGAAATATAGAATTGTGGATAACCTCTAAACCCTAAACCCGTAAACCCTAAAGGCTGCTTGACAAATCTCAGTTTTGTGCTTCAGGGTTCGTGTAAACCCCTGATCAACAACCGCCGCCCCGCCCGGACTTTGTTTGAACAGCAATCCTAGTACCATAGGCCCTTGCAGAAGGGGCTACATGTAACCTGTGCATTATTACGCACGGAATTCATCCCCAAAAGACCATCCGGTCATGGTGTTGGGGGACCTAACTCCACAGTGGAATTATATATGGACATATGGACCCTTTGCCCACAACCGATCTCTTATGGAAAGCTTTATGCAAGTAATTAAGTAGTTTGCATGGGCCCTTTTCCCTAAAGCCTAAAACCCTTATAGAAAGCCATACGATCGTATACGATAGTAATAGTATCTTCTGCACCTTTTTCCCTAAACCTAAACCCTAAAACCCTTATAGAAAGCCTTACGATAGTAAGTAGTGTATTATGGACCCTCTTAAACCTAAACCCTGAAACCCTTATAGAAAGCCTTATGGTAGTCAGTAGTATCTATAGACCCTCTTCCCTAAACCTAGCCTATAGAAAGCCTTATGGGTAGTTGTCAAAATGGGGATCCCTTCTTGGGTACCCTAAATAGTAGGTGCCGTATTATATTAGGGACCCATAAATGGACCATAATTTTGAGAACCACTCTAATGATAGTCCACAGTCACCAACTCCCCGGGGTGTGGGCAGAGCAGACTTCCGCGATCTGGACGCACAGGTGGCGCCTGCAATTTAAGTGAAGGGGTCTATATGGAATCTAGATGGGCTTCTTTGGTATAATCATCGTAATCGTCATCGTTGTCATCGTCGCGATCATGGTTATCATCATCGTTGGTACCATCACCGTTATCATCACCATCGTGATTATCACCGCTATCACCATCGTCATCATCATCGTCGTCATCATCATCATCAACATCATCATCATCATCATCACTATCATCATCGCAATCAGTCGCCTTCATCATCATCATCATCATCCCTAAGCCCTAAACCCTAATCATGCGGTGTTCTTTTGGGGGGGCTGCGACCTGAACTAAGGAACGTACCTCAAATCATCTTAGGGATTCGTCTCTGGGCAGAGCTGTAAGAGGGTGTTAGGATTCAAGGTTTAGGCAAACCTTGATGGGAGGCCAAAAGAAAGGTTTAAGATTATTGGGGTAGGGATTCCTGAATATGAACCGTATTATGGGTACCCGAATCCCTACTAAACCCCCATAGGCTAAAACCCCTTTTGGCCTCCTATGAAACCTTTCTAGTAAGTAATGCCCCTGTATTATAGTACCCTTAAAGATCCCTTTCAGTAGCCCTGATAGACCCCTTCAAAGGGAACCCAGGAGGCCGTTCGCCGGTACCAAGCAGTGCTTGGCAAGCTCCTTGTACTCTTGACAGCGCCGGTGTTGGTGGCCCCTCCGGCGCATGCTGCAAGGCTCCTTTACCCATGAACATGCCTGCCTGTGCATCAGGTGTGCCAAAGCTGCCTTGCGGCGCACCTCCCTGATCCAATAAAAGGCCTTCCTGCTGCAGAGGGTGCATTGAGCCGCTCGTCGCGCCAAGCGACGGCCCTTGGCCCACGCTTCCAAAGCTACCAGCAGACTGTTGGCCGCCTGCAACGTGATGCCCTTTGCCTTTGCCCGTCAGCGAGTCGCGGAGCTATGCGCCAGTCCCCACCATGGGCTTCTCGCTCTGCAGCTGCGACATGGTCACGCTCGGGCCGAATGCAGCAGGAGATTGCAGCTGCTCTGTCTGCTTGGCATGGTCCGGCCACTCCGCGGTGGGCCGAAAACCTGCGCATATATAGAGTTCCGGGTTGAGTCCTAATTAATTCAGGCAGACTCTGGGGCGTACACCGTAGCGTTGAGGGTCAAGAGTTGTAACGGTCCTGCTATAAAGAAGGGCCATTGGGCATGCACTTCCTCACCCTATAGGGCTCTAAGGACTGATACGTAAAGGTTTCTACGCCGAAATACCATGCCCACTATACAAGGTTTGTGGGCTATTTTGAGCCTCAGGGTTATCTTATTTCCATGTTAGCTTTCAAGAGGGCTCCGGGGGTTTGGTTGATGATGTATGGTGTGTTGGGTTTAGGGAGGGGTCTCTGGCAACACAACTGGGCTACCCTAGGGAACTACCTCAAAAAATTGAAAAGGCCTATACTTCAACAACCGCTCAACAATACACTGTAGCAATCACCATAGTTTGAAAAAGGCTTGGACCGGACATTCTAATATAGATAGGCGAATAGAATGGCTAATCATTCAACCGCTGCAGAAACGATCTTCTTGATGGAGGCTCCCTTCTCATTTTGAGACAAGATCTTGCTCTAACGGATTCTAACGGATTGTAATCCAGATGACCAATCCTTTGCACCATGACTCCACAGGCACGAACACAAAGCCCTAAATCATCCTACAAAGACCCGATCATGTTCGAACGGAGCCCCCTTCTAACCACCATGAAGACCCATATGAGCCGAAAGCGACCCGATAGTCTACCAAAATATCTACAATGACTAAGGTCGCTATGTCCGACTCACCCGATACGACCGCCACAAGGACCTACGAAACCCCAAAAGACCCTACACTGTAAATGTTAACAAAGCTCAATCCAAAACCATGCTCGAAGGATTAAGTCGGAGGCCTCAAAAACCGGGATGAAAGCAGGTAGGATGAAAGATCCGTTACATAAGGACACTTAATTGGGAATGTCCCTCTTACCTTCATCCCACATTTAGAGCCCGTTGATTAAGGTCTTCGTCCCCTCACCCCATCCATGGCGCACCCCAGCTCGTGGTTTCTGCTGTTTTCCTCCTGCAGCGCCAAGACCTTGACGAAGTCTAGAGGGAGTTGAGGCTTTACAAGTGTTTAGGTTTGCAGGGTCTGAGGTAATGTAGGAACCTGATTAAGAAGCCTTGGGCCTTTATTAGGGTTGCTGATATGAACCCTACTATTTTTGGTTTTACAGGCCCAGGGTTTCTTACTCAGGTTCCTACACTATTATAGCACCCTTATAGACCCCTCATAGTAACCCTTACAGCACCCTTTAAAGGGACCCTTAGGTTCCTACATTGGTACTGGTCTTCAGTGTCGTAATGCCCAAAACGCTGCGGCCGCCGGCAAAGTGGGTTTCGGGCCTCGGGTTCGGGGTTTTAGCGCTTTGGGTTGTGTACAATCACGCAAAAGTAAGCTTTGGGGCTTCGCGCTTATGTGATAGTGTTTATTGTTCAGGTTTTTGTAGGGTTGCGGCAGGGTGTATAGGGATTGATTGAGGTCTTGTCAACCTGTGAACCTTGAAGCCCAACAGGTACTTTTGGTTGAGCAAGGAGACAACAAACTTGAAGGGCATGAGGGTACTACTCGGGGAACAGCATGACCTCTCTCAGGAATGCATCTAAGTCGGGTTTACTTCGTTTTGGCTTCTTGCAGCATGACAGTCGTAATCCTGGGTATACAACTCTTACTGCTCATTTGCGGACAGAAGCACCCTCTCATTCACACTCATGCCTTGTAGTTGGGCTCGTCATAGTCACCGGTACTTCAGAGCGCTATGGAAGAGCCACCCCGACCCAAGACCACGCAGGTGGAACGACCAAACTAGTCTCATGACATGAAAGCTTGGAGCTCCTTGTAAGAGCCCGGATAAGAACTCTGCAAAGAACCATTAAAAAACCTGAAGCCCCATGATTATCGAGCTCCTCACAAGACCCCACGTGCAGGCTCTCAGTACAAACTCCTAGACGCCGAATGGAACCCCAATATTCTCGGCCCTACTTCATATCGGAACGCATCTGGGCTCGCCGACGGCTTCGCCGACGACCTCGCAGGCGTAGCCCATGATCAGATCGCAGGTGACCAGCATGTCAACCTGGGCACAGTACAGGGTCCTATATTCAAGCAAGTAAGCTTTTGGGGTTACGTTATACTGTATACTATAATAGGGACTACATGCGGAACCCGTAAACCCAAAGCCCTTGCAACCCTAAACCGGCGAGATTTTATTACTCAGTGTCCGAATCCTGTGTCACCCAAACGGCCTAAACCCAAAATAGGAAGTAGGTATGTAGGCTTGAATGTTTAGGATTCCGATGATTCTAGGGATAAGGTCGGAGCTCTGGGATGCAGGTTTTGAAGGTTAGGGTCGATTGCGTCAAATCCGGGTTTTTGAGGTTCAGGGTTGTCTTTGAACAGTTCCATGGTTCCACGTCTATTGACATTGAGGTCTTTCAGCCATAAACCAACTTTCAGAAGCTGTCATGTCGAGGCCTCAGAGGGGGGATGAAGGTAGGTAGGAATAGGGATTCCTCATATCAGAACTCTTATTTGGGATTAATTACACCACCTACCCAACTACATCCTACTGTACCTTTGAAAGCCACTGGCATCATGGGATCCCGGGCGCCCTGCCATCCCACCAGCAGCTACAGGGTACAGGGCTGAGGGTTTACTGCTACAGTCACACATGCTGCGGCGATGTTGTTTTGCTTCCCTTTGGGACCTTCATTCATCTCGCCAATGCTGCATTCTTCCCGTGGTAACCGGAGTGGTTTGAAGAAACACCAAGTCCACCGCGGTTATGTCCACGACACCCGCCACCGGGGACATGTTGTTGCATAGCTCTACGATAGTGGCGATGGCTATAAGGTTTGGGGTCGCCGCGAGGGGGTGCCCATAGGCCACGGAGTTTATGGCGTCGCACGGACAGTAAACGCACTCCTTGGCTTTCCCAGGCCTCCACATTAGCCGTTTTCTGTCTGCGCCGTACGCCACACCTCGCTATCTGGCCCGCCTCATCAGGCTCTTCCTCGGGTGTCGTGCATGGATTCTGTCGGAGCGTTCACGTTGTCGTTATCCGGGGCAGCTCGGCTTGCCGGCCGGCTCGCCCTTGGCCCAAACGATCACGGTCGAGGCGCTGAATTGTCCGCAAGCATCCAAACCGAACGGCTGCCCTCGTTTCAAGGTGTCGAGCTGCTTACGGGCGTTTAGGTACACCCAAAACCCTAGATCCTATAGAAACGTTAAGCAAGACCGCAACCTGACCTAGGGCTCAACATAGCCCAAAAGCCTTATATAGTATGGTCTTTGGGCCCAAAAGCTTTAAAATATGAGTCCTTATAGAGCCTAAGGGTAAACTTCTGAGTTCACAGACCCAAATCCAGTTTCACAATCCCAGTGTAAGCCTTGCACCCATGCGTCGAAACTCCACCCGAAAGCAGCTTGTGAAAGGAGACCCTTCATGTAGATCGCTGACGAGTAACACCCCTTACCTGAACAAGAACTTGTCACAGGGATTCGTGTATCAAGCAAGGCCGTCCAATGCGGGACCCATGAATCAATGTCCAGAGTATGAAAACCAGCGCAACCTCATGACTTCAGATTCCGACCACGACCTACATGATGCGGGGTTTGCCAGGGTTCCTATCATACTGTTGGTGGACTTTAATGTAGGGGTGCTTCTGGGGAGGTGGCTCCAGGAGTGTCACGGCGCCGGTCAAGCACCGCACCTGTTATGAGTGGGCTTAGGTTCTGGGTTCATTTTCAGGAGTTCAGGGTTTAAGGGTTTAGGGTGAAGGTTTTATGGATGTAGGCTTTAGGGTTTTGGTGCTTGGGGTTTTGGGGTTCAGGGTTGAAGGGTTTACAGTTTGAGGTCCTAGGACGGGGAGGTTGAGAGACTCGGGATGTACCTAACCAACCAGAACCTCCGATTCTGCATTGAGATTTTGTATTGGGAAAGTGCTGTGTTTGGGGTAGAGAGATATTTGGTTGAAATCAAAAGTCTTGGATAGTCTTGGATTTCATTTTGTCTTTTGGGGCTTCACATTGGGAAGTTTAGTCGTGCTTGCATATTGAAGCAGAGGAGAACAAAAACTCTTTGGCTGATCGTCATACGCGCACTTGCTGCAAGGACGCCAACCTACAAGTAGATTGAAGCGACCAGAGCTGCGAAAAGGACGGCAAGCCCAAAGGGTCCAAGTACCATGGGAGGACAGCCAGCGGCTTTACACGAAGCCACACATTCTCTACAAGCCGCAACACCAATCACATTACAGCAACAGCATCTTCTGCACAACCCAAATCTACCCAATCATACACAATCCGAACCTATTCATGGACAACAAAAGAAAGGTCTCAGCAAATGAATGCCCACAAGATACAGCTCCTTCGATGTCCGTTTTGGTAATGAAAAACGATGGCCGTGGCTTCTTGTAACCACTTGAAAATACACCCATGCGCTTGCTCAGGCATTACCAGCAGCAAGTAAAACAACAAGTGTAGAGAAATCTCCCACCTAAGACGTGGCCACATCCCGCTTGCAGGAAATACACTTCGCGCGGGGTATGTGCCTCTCCCTTTTTGCCCACGAGACGTCCTGACACACTACCATCTGATCATAGCCCGGAGGTTCACCTCCAGCAACTCAAAACGAGTTGCAGACGAGATCCAAACTCACCACGCCAAGGCGGTGCTGGAGGGCAGCATCCACTGCGCAGATATCAACATCCCTTCCGTCCATTCTTTAAGTGAGTGATGCCGGTATCATTAGGCATTTGCAAGCCATCCCGCTACCAACAAATGAGCGCACCCACTTTCAAACCCCCAAACAACCCTAACCCACCCCTAAACAACCCCTAAACCCCTTGACCCCTAAACCTCTGAGCCCCTCAAACCCCTAAGCAACCCCTAAGCGACTCCTAAGCAACCCCTACGAAACCCCTAAACAACCCTTGAACAACCCCTACAACCCGAAACTCTTAATCAACCCCGAACCACGAAATACTTAAGGGTTTCAGGCGCAGACAAAATGGTCAAGTGCTTCCGTTGCTGGGCTTAGGTCAGCAAGCTCTATTCGGCGGAGCGCCTTGAGCTCCTCGATTAGAATAAGGTGCTGCGGAAATTTCTTCTAGAGTTGTACAAGGACTATAGCGGCATACGATTTGCACTTAGGACTTGTGCTTTGAAGTTTAACCTTTAAACAACAACTGTCTGCGAGCAACGCAATGCATCAAACCCTAAACCCCTATTTTACGGAACCCTGCCAGAGGCCTTAAGAAACCCTTCAACTTAGGGGTTGAGTACCCTAGCCCCAAAACAGGTTAACCTTTTCAACTATATGATAGGACGTTTGAATTATGGTCGGATTTTATAAACCCCAAAAAGTCAAAGGGTTACTAAGGTAGGTATCCCGCAAAGCAATCAACTCGTGTAACGAAAGGGTCCCATGAATCCGCCGGCAGGACCCATCAGCTGCAATATCTTCAAGCCCTGGTGCGCGGTTATTCCGGGGTTTAGGTGTTTTAGGGTTTAGGGTTTAGGATTTTGAGCTTCCCTCAACCCTAGACAGAAACCCTTATAAACCCTAAACCCCTTAAATCCAAAACCCTAAACCCCTAAACCCGGAGCTTGAAGTTTGGAGGTATGAGAAGTTGAAATGAGTCCCAATGGAGCGCGGTTTTAAAATTTTAGGTATGGGCATTCTCACGGCATGGATCACAGATGATCACAGAATTATTTATGGCATCTAGATTTCTCTACTCCCTTTCGAAGGTACGCAACAAGTCTCTGCAAGACCCTAATAAACCAAACAAGAAGAACATACACAACACACACACACAAGAGCCTTCACCGAAGGATCTTTCAAATCTGGAAGTGCCCCACCCCGACACCCCAACAACATGCGCCCTACTGAATAGAATCGGGTTTGGTGGTATATTATGGTATCGCCACAATCAGGAGCCCGAAGGAATGATCTTGGTCACGATGTAGGATTCTAGGTTACACCACGCCCTGCGACTCGAAGCCCAGGTGGTCTGCACCCACCGCCACCCGGAAATCCCAACCGACTACTGAACGAAGCAGCAAAACCCAACACAGTCACCCCTTTGAACCGAGAGCCCCCCGAAGCCCCACACTAGACCAACCAGTACCGGTTTAGGTTTAGGGTGCCAACCAGAACCTACTTGTGTATGGCCTCTATGAGTTCTCTGTCGGCACTTGTGTGTGTGTACCCAAATTATCAAACGGTGTAGGCAAAACCAGTCTCATCAATCCAAACCTCTGCCCTACCCTAACTCCCAAGCCCAAAGTCTAAACAGCCATTGCTGAGACCACGACGCAAGCGCAATTGAATGGCCCGCAGTTCCTCTCGCACTCCGGCCCTAAACCACCCGACACTAAGTGGAATTACAACCAAATAGCAGATAAAACTACAACTTAAATCTCGCCTCTAAACCCTAAACTCTAGAACCCTACAAACCTAAATCCCTTGAACTTTCCCCTAAACCCCATGTTCGAAGAACAAACCAGGGGACCACAATTGCACATAAGCGAAAAATTGGAGAGGGGCATCCCATATAGCTGTCCTGATAATAAAGCCGAAGAGAGTACGTAACCCTGCAAAATGCTGATACTGCGGGTCATCCGATGTCCTTTTGGGGTGCCGAACCGACGACCTGCTGAAATTCAGCAAGAAGCCATAAAACACCGCATGGAACCCTCCAACCGAGGTTCAAGGCTGCCGAAGATACGGCTGATGATCTAAATCCTGCATTACCTTAAGGACCCTAAACTATGGGAGTTATGGTATATTCCCTATTGTGGGTAATGCAGGATTTATATCATCAACCGTAGGATCTTGAATCTCGTGTGTTACTGGCTTAGAATAAGTGCCAGAATTGCAAGTGGCTGAATGCTCTTTCTGTTGGTTCTTGCGAAAACTGCATCGCCTAGCCGTAAAACTGCCGGAAAGGGTCCTTCCATCTAACATGTAGAGTTTTGCAGGGTAATATAACCGCAATGGAGTCGTATAACAGTGTGCATAACAGCTGGATGCGATCTTTTAGGCGTGTTCTGACGCTAAACCCTGCACCCCACAACAAAGTCGTAGACCCTAAAACTTCAAGTCTACATCCCTGTGCCCTGTAAAGCCCGCTCATACTGCAAATCCTGACCTAATCAGCAGTCAAAAACTAATCCTACACCTAATTTTTGAAACGCGAAGGCCGCCATATTGCACCTCGAAACTCCCCGAATCCTAAGGAACAGTTACAACCCCTATAACTCCAACCCTTTCCCCTAAACCTCTAAAACAACATACACTCGGCACCCTAAAAACTCTGCACCCCAAACGCGTAGACCCGAAAACTTAAACCCCCCCAACAAGCTTTCAAGCCTTACACGGCAAACCCTAAACTGAAACTTCACGGCCTGACCCGGGTCAGCAGTCGACTGACCTGGCGTGGGCTTGCTTGCACATGGGAGTTTCCGGAAATAGGGGAACCGAACATGGTGCTTAAATAGTAGGATCATTATAATATCCCTATTTTCGGAGACTCCCATATGAGTGCTCCCAGTTTAGGGTCTCGCTGTTACGTGAGTTTAGGCTTTACGGTTTAGGGTTCCTTCGAGGGTTCCTTTCAGGGCTCTGTGATGGTTCTAAATTGATCGGGGGGTTGAGCGCTTTGATGCTTTGGGGTTTCGGGGTTTACGCTTTTGGTTAGTGGAGTTTCCTGATAATAAATCCAAACCCCAACGTAAAATCTAAAGGGGCCCTGGCAGATCCGGGTTACTTTGACAGATACCAGTAGGCGTCTTAAGAGGGCGCCTACGGCTTGTCGAGCATGTTGGGAGTTAAAGTTAAAGAAGACCGCCAGGCACTTGGTCCGTCGGTCTATCTAGGTTTCGGGGCATGTTACACTCTATCCCTTAAGCCCTAAACCCCAAACCGGATAGTAGGAACTGTGGTCCCTGTTATTGGAGCAGCGTACACGAAACTGAGCAGGGCGGAGTGACGCTTCCCACGATGTCACACTGTGACACATTCTTAAAAGACCAAGCGTCCCTTTCTGTAAAAGTAGGGGCCCTACATCCATATAGAAGGAATCCCTATATGGTATATGACCCTTAAACCCGTTTAGGGTTCATTTCGTCCTTAGGGACTGTCACACATTCACACTCACCAATTCACAGCCGCGGCGGAGCGCGGAACGAGAGAAAGCCTCCCAGCATCTGGAACCCCCACATCCCAACCAGGACGTTAACGGTAACGTAGGAACCTGATTGAGAAACCTGGTCCTATAACCCCAAGATAGTAGGATTCATACAAGGAACCCTAATAAAGGCCCAAGGTTTCTTAATCAGGTTCCTACATAGGAACAGTTTGTATTCAGGACTCTTTGCGGACACTGGTGCAAGCGCATCTGGGGTTGTTTTTGCGGAGCCAGCAATCTGGCTCCCTTGTTGGGTCCTCAATATGATACGGCACCAATTATTTAAGGTACCCGGAAAAGGACCATAGTTCTGACAACCACCCAGCTGGACCTTATGCAGGTCCTGCGTTCAGTTACCCCTCCACAAGTTTCTGGGCTTGAAAGCTATCTACGACCACCGACCAACCCCAACAATACCTTCGCCCCCAGACTCAAAACAATGGCCAAAGCAACGCCGATGTCGCTTGTCCTACTTGTCGGGTACAGTGAAAATACTGTACAAGAACCCATTGTTTAAGAACCTGAGCCCCTACCCAAGGCGGAATTCACCAAATTCAAGTTGCCTCAATATTAAGAACCTTAGGGTACACTAGTTTTTTCGGGTCAGGTTCTTATTTTTTTGGGTGCTTTCCCTCATCAAGGAAATTTAGAATCGAAAACTAAATTTTCCCAACCTTCCACATCAAGAAATCTTGTGCCCAAACATGAAGATTGTATGATCGATGAGCAACAGCAATCATGCCACAGCGCGGTGGTTGTGCATGGGTTCTGGAGGCAAATGTCCGTGTTTCAATCCCCAGAGGTGCCAGTATTCTAAAACTTAGAATTGAATTCTAAATTTCCCAGGCCTCCTGGACACCGAAACAAAGCCCCTTGCCACCAAAACGTGGAAATTTAGAATTGGAATCTAAATTTTCTACACCAGCCCCTTCCTGGCCCTGTGGCCTCTGACCCACACAAACGGCGTCAGGAAATTTAGAATCCGAAAGTAAATTTCCGCGCTCCAAACCACAAAAAACACCAACGTCCAGAGGTGGGGAGAAAACAGATGGCAAAAAAGCCTCCCCACAGCGCAGTGGTTCTGCATAGGCCCTACAGGGGAAAGGCTTTGTTTCAATCCCCGGGGGTGTCATGCCGCTGCGGGCTGCCAGCCCGCAGCTCGTATTCCACTGAAACAGAGCCCCTTGCCACCAAACTGTGGAAATTTAGAATTGAAATCTAAATTTTCCACACCAGCCTCCTGGTCCCCGGCCCAAGCCACAACCATGGACCATCCACCCCCACAAGGAAATTTAGAATCCAAAAGTAAATTTTCTGGGGGTCTCTGGCCATGCCCTCTGCCCCGAGTCCTTTCGAGGAGCTGTGGAAATTTAGAATTGAAAACTAAATTTTCCAGACCCCCATGGCCCATCCACCCTCGGTCCGGATAAGAACGTGGTTAAGAACCTGAGCCTACCCTAGCTGCTCGAACGGCAAAATCACCTGTAATGGAAATTAAGAACCTTAGGGTACCCTACTCTCGCCGAACGGGGTTCTTATACAGGGTTTTCACTGTATCATGGGGGACTAAAGGTTAACTTTTTTGGTCATACAGGGATTATATAGGGGCTATACTACTGTACCCAAAAAAGGTTAAAGGTTACCTACTATATGCTTATCTTATGGAAGAGGGGGTTGGCCGACAACTCCGGGCGCCCCAAGGCGTACTATTGTTGAAGAGGGGTTCAAGGGATTCTATGAGGGCTACCATAAGCTTGCTATAAGGTTTCTATAATATAGGGGCCTTGGTTCCTTTATGGGGCTTTAGCTTTCGGGAAGAGGCTCGAATGTAGGAACCTGATTCAGCAACGCTGGTCCTGTCCTATAACCCCCAAATGTCGGGCTCAAGAAAGCCAGGACGGCTCCAAGCTGTCGGTTTCGGGGGACCGGGACCCCCTGCAGAGCCCCCGTATAAGAACTGACAGAACACCTAGCTGTCAGGAACTTCGGTTTCGAAAGGAAGGTCCAGAAACCCTGACCTTAACCGATTGAAGGGTTTCGGGCTTAGGGTTTCCCATATCCTACTTTTGGTAAGGGTCCTAATGGGTCCTTGTACTAAATCCGAGTAACGAAATCGTAAAGGACGGTCCACAAAGTAGGTTGCCGTTAGTTAACGTCGTGCCCTGTCTCGTATAACTCACGCGTAACCCATCCTAAAGCCAAGTGGTTCCTATCCCCAGCAATCCCTGCAGCCCTCCACGGCCGAATGGTAGCCAGCACGGCGAGGGTGCTGTCCAGCAAGCAGTTCACCTGATGGTGGGCGATTTCAAGTACGGTTTTTTGCCCTTCAAGCGACGTGTAGGGTTTACTATAATGGGTCCTACACCCCAAACCGTCTGTCGTGCTTAAAAGCGATGTGAAAGGCGCTTCTGTTTCAGATCCTCTGAAGCATCCCAATTTTGGGGTTTACGGTTCGGGGTTTGGGCTTGGTGTTTAGGATCGCCTAGGCTTCGACCAGAAGGACTACCATGAACTCTTACCCTTACCATCACATCACTATAACAAGGAATACCATGAAATCCACGAAACACTAAACTATCGCTATACAGCTTAACCTCTGCTATCGACACTAGGCCACAAACAACCTACCATAAATCTTCTTAGTCTTCATTGCTCTTGCAAAACCTTACTCTGTTCGGAGTTCTTGGGTCGCGGGTGAAGGGCTGCTTATGCGAGCTGCTTTTGGAAATGCCAATGTTTTCAACGCGCGAGGTAGGGGGCTTATTTGAGGTGTCCAAGGAAAAAATGAGGCATGCATGTCATGATGGTGCCTTCACGGAACAGGTATAAAACAAGGTAGATGTTAAAGTGCGATACTCCAGAAGCCAGGCTACGTGGCTTAGCAAAAGAGATTCCGCGCTTTGGCTGTGGTATGGCACGGCTTCGCCTTCCTCTGGAGAACTTGCCGTGAAGTGGTCTCTTAGTTGCTGAGTTCATAAGCCACAAAAAATGTACACTTTTCGCCTTCTAGTGGCTAATGTTATCCCAATTGTGCAAAGTGTATCCACTCAGCTACTAAGGAAGTGGTCTAGATGTAGGGTTCAGGAGATCAGCTGTTATGGTATTGAGGCATTACGGGTTCAGGGCTTCGGAGAGTTGTGGCTTATGGTCGAAGCCTGCATCCCCAAACCAACAGAAGCTCAAGTCAGCAATTTGGTAACTGTGTTCCTGATTCAGCAAACCCTCCAGCCAAGACAACAAACAAAGCAAACTTAAATCCGAACCAACCGAAAAGCCGGAACTGCCTAAATGTTTCAAGGCTCCTCAGTATCCCACCAGCGAGAAAGGTAACCTTGTTCCGAGTAGCCAGCTCGCCCCGGCAAAACAAGACAACAAATATGATGTTATCTGTCTCAGTACTAGACCTAAAACTTGTAAACCGTAAACCCCTACACCCTAAACCCTACACCCTAAAACCCTAAAGCCCTAAACCCTAAACCCTAAACACCCCTCATCCCTCTTAGCCCGCGACCATCTCGAACTCCGCCTTTGGAGAGGACGGGGCCTGTCAGAGGCTTCTGGACATTAGAGGTTTAGCTTAGGGTTTAGGGTGTAGGGGTTTAGGGTTTAGGGGTTTAGGGTTTAGGGGTTTCGGGTTATAGGAAATTAGAGGTTTAGCTTGGGTTCCGGCCCAATACAGTATAGTAGGCGCCCCAAAGTTGGAAACCCCGTAGCCTCAATCCTTAAGAGTAATGTACAGGGAATCCCAGCACGTTTCAATTTTAATCGGTTTTAGGGGGCTTACTATACAGGTCGAGGGTCTACTTCAGGAACAAGTAATGTATATGCACACATAGATGCATACGAACATACATACATACATACGTATATACATGCATAGATTCAATATATGGGGCTGATCGATATTATTGTTCCGATGAGTGACCTCTTACTACCCTTTTCGTCCGCCCTTGCGCGCTGCTGCGTGTCTTTATTGTGTAAAGGCACAAATCTTCCAAGATCCCGTTCTCAAGGAATACGCCTGATATATGCAGCAGGATGTAACTCCCAAACCTTACCCTAAGGGTCCAAGTACCCAATTATCATATACTCTCCGAAATCTTAACCTACATAACTACTATCCTAAAGCCGAGTACCTAATTATTGGGTCCTTTGGACCCTTAGGGTGAACCTAAGAGATCTAAACACTGGAAATCCGACCCTCAAGCCCGAACACGAAACTCGAATCTGCACTCAGCTCTTCAACCTCCAACTCGAAGCTCTCCTGCGTTAAGCCCATATAGCCCTTCATTAGTGTGAGTTACTTTTAGACGTCCTTAAGAGGGGGAAATAATTTCATAAGCGTCCAGGTACCACAGAACAGAGGGCCACAAGTACATGAATACGCTTCGTGTTCAGATTCGCGCTTGCTTTTGCGGCCCCAAACTCATGGATGCTAGAGGTTTCAACCTCCCTAGAACCCTTAAACCTCAAGTTCAAGCTCCAAACATTAAAGCTCAAGCTGCAAAACTTCAACGCCAAACCCTAAGCCCTTTGCCGTCTTGAAACAGGCTGTAAGACCTGTAAAGCACGTTTCCAAAGCAGTCATAGAACCCTCAAGCAACCCTATAATCTAAATGGCTGAATTCAAGACAGGCCGTAGTAAAGAGACGAGGGATCTGAGAAAATGGCAATAAGAATGATCAGGAACGCCAAGGAGCAATGTCATGATTTGTTCGGCCCTGTTTTGTACCCCAAGCTTAACCCGAAACCCTGAACCCTAAACCCTTAACCCCTCAAGGGAACGCTCCGCCGTCCTGAAGCAAAGCGTACGCGCATCTCAGGGCCGCCGCAACGATGAAACCCTCGTCCAACTCACCTGTTGGGTTTGGGTTTAGGGTTTTTGGCCTGTAGTTTGCGGTTTAGGGCCTTGCGGCTTTAGGGTTTTAGGGTTTGGGGGCTTGGGAATTGGGTCGGGTGCTCTTCCAGGACATGTACGAGGCATCCCGACAATCTGTACAACATGTATATGTATGTATGCATATGTATATGTATATATATATATATATATATATATATATAACTATACATGTCAGAAGATACATGCAGGTACATACTATACTTCTGTGTATATATATAGATATACATATATATATATATATATATACATATGTATATATATATACACATGTATATATGTAGCCGATTTGGCATGCTACCATTTTGGCACATTCCGACTTAATGAATAATATAGTGCTCTTAACCTGCGCTGATGAAAGAACAACCATGCAAGCAAGGGGGATCGTAGCCCTCAGGCCTAAGCCCTTAAACCCTGAACTCCTAAACCCGACAGACAACCTCAAGCCCTAAACCCTACCTTAAACCCCAACTTCCCGAAGTCTCGAGCCTTCCTCGACATCCATCAGACAAGAAACGCCCTAATCCTAAAGGGCCCGGGGGTGCCCAGAGACTCCAATATCCCTTAATTGAGAAATAGATTTAAAGCATAAGGAATAGATTTAAGGTATAAGGAATAGATTTAAGGTATAAGGAATAGGTTTAAGGTATAAGGAATAGTTTAAGGTATAAGGAATAGAATTAAGGTAAGGTATAGTTTCCTGATTAAGGGACATTGGAGTCTCTGGGGTGTTCAAGCCAGTAGGATTCCCAAAGATCCTTTTTGCAACCTGAGTGGGCGAATCCGACAAACTGGGGTTCAGGGCTTAGGTGTTAGGGTCTTGGGTTTAGGGTTTTGGGGTTTAGGGTGTTTAGGGTTTAGGGGCCTTGGGATTAGGGTACCAGGGTTTAGGGGGTTTAGGCTTTAGGGGTTTCGGGTACCAGGATGTATGCCCCCTGGAACTTCCCTCCCTCCTTCAAGGATCCCTGGCCAAAAACCCAAGCTGCTCCTGCACGGGTTTAGGGCAGGATCACTCCCATGGGATTGTCAGCAGCACGCTAAGATTTGGAGTTCCTTTTGACAATTCAAAACCACAAGGACAAACTCAAACAACTTCCAAGTTCAAGGAAATCAAGATGAGGTCTTCAGTCTTCGGTCTCCCCTGACTCATTCATGGGAAAACCCTGACTCTCTTCTTCAACAACCGGGCCCCAAAAAGCTGAAACTTTCTGAGGTAGAGAAAATTTATAAGGCCAACAGTTTAAAGTTCCCCCGTTCACTATCTAAGCTGCTGAAGACGGCCTAAACATGAAACCTACCAGGACGCCCCAATGGCCCTTTGGGTATCTGGGGTATATTTTAGGGTAGTTGGGGGTCTACTTGGAGGTTCAGGGGTAGTTATCAGTGGGGTTGTAAGTCCCCTAATATGGGTTAGAAGTATAATTACGCTAATTATAAGCCTGGCCTAGTTATAACTACCCATGAACCTCCAAGTAGGTACACCGCAAACCCTAAAACCACGAAGCTGAGTGCCACTGCCATTTCGATTGGCGGTCTCCTCAGCGAAGAAGTGATGCTAACGGCTGCCCGAGCCCCTAAATCCCACGCCGCTTCAGTGTAGCTCACCTAATGGTCCATGGACCCAAATAGGTTCCTTTAAAGGTTCCATTAAGGGTTCCTTCAAGGGTTCCTTTCAGGGTTCCTTATGGTTTGAGGGTATAAGGATCCATGTACCCAAATAGTATATACTTTGGCCCCAATGTACCTATACAGGGAGTACTTTAAGGCCCAAGTATATACTGTTTAGGCACATGGACCCTTAGGGTCAGAGAACCGACATGCTGAACTCCAAGTCACAACCGACCTGGCAAGGGTGGTTACTTATAGCCATACCCTTGAAGCCCAAATCATAAACCTTAATCCTGCCGTGAATCCTGGCCCCCCTAAACCCTAAACCTTAAGTCATAAAGGTTTAGGGTTGAAGCTCTACCTGGGGATCCAAAAACCTGCCGTTTCAAGGGTTCGACCCTCTAATGAAGTAGTCAAAACAACCACTCTTTTGTAGGGTTTGGGGTCACGGGTAAATCCTAAACCCTATAATCTCCCAATTCCACAAAGGAAACCATACTAAGGAACCCTAAAGAGGTAGGTTACTAAGGGTGAAGGTAAAGCTTTAGGGTTGCAGCTATAAGGTCTACGAAGTGAAGGAGCCCTCCCCCAAACCTCGAAGAAGCCTGAGCCCAAACCCCTAAACCCGAATCCCTAAACCGCCAAAACCAAACACAAACCCCAAAAAAACAAACTCTAAAGACCTTCAAAAAAGCCACTAAGATGCCAACTTTGCAAGGGCCGGCCATTGTTGATCACCGTGGTGAACCCTCGAAAGTCATGAAATACACACCTGTACGGAGAGCTATACCACCCTTAGAACCATAATTAAATAATCTTCTCTTGGGCTTAAAAGATCAAAAATAAAAGATAACTCCTAAGGAGACTATATCGGGGCTTCGGGATTCGGGATTGGGGTTCAGGTTGAGCTTGCAAGGAACCACGAAGAATGGCTAAACCCCGCTATCCGCCAAGTTTCCTCGACGGAGAGGCGTGGCGCCAAGAAATTAATGGCCTGGCCATTGGCTCTGGGACATCTCCTACACGATCATCGTCAGTCACATCAGAATGATCGCCGAAGCGATGGGCATTGTCAGGAGCAGTGCCACCATTGTCATTTGGGTGGTTGTCAATATTAGGGTCCTTTGTTGGGTCGTTATTATAATACGGCACCTATTATTTACGGTAATTACCCAAAAAGGGACCATAATGTTGACAACCACCCATTTATCAGCAACATCCAGAGCTTGAACATACGCTGCAAGGAAGGCTTCACAGTAGCAGGCGAGGTGATTGATCATCACGAGCGTCATAGCTAACCTCATCTTCATCACCATCGTCACCATGACCATCATTATCACCACCAACACCGTCATCATCAGCAACATCAACTAGACCACCATCATCATCGTCATCGTAGTTATAAACAGTATCACCATCTCGGTTATGCTCATGAAATCGACACCAGAGTTATTGTCGGTGACGATAACGGCATCTATGGTACACACATAACAGCTACAGCAAATACGACTACGACGGAGACGACAACGACCGCGACGAGCAGCGCGACCACCACCACCGCCGCCGCCACCACAACAACAACAGTAGCACTAGTCGCAAATGCGACGAGGGCGTGGTCGCGGAAGGCCTTGCGCGGTTTACGACTTAGTCTGTCTGCCTCTGCCTCTGCCTCTGCATTTTCATCTTTCTGTCTGTCTCCCCAATATGGCCTGATCATGGTTCGGGTGCTAGGTCAAAGACTCAGGCAGCTCGTCCGCGCAAGATTGGGATCTTAGGGCTTGTTTATCTCAGCGCTGCCCCTAATGCAAAGCGAAACTCCCTCTACCCACATGCATACAGTGCAACCCATGGCTGCCAAGAAGCCCTATTATCCCTCCTTATGCGACACCCGATGTTCCCAATCCTACAGCCTACAATGTCCTGAAGCCCTGAAGTTCTAAACTGCAATACTCAGAAACGCATGCTGGGGACTGAAACCAAAGCTCTACGATCTTGCCGTCTTAGTCGTATCGCTTCTCCAAAGCATGGCGAGGTGTCCCCATACACTTTTGGCCTGAGAGGCAGGCAATTAGTGTTAAGGTTGCAGCAGGGTTTCAGTGTGCAGAGTTCAGGGTTGAGGATTTGAGGTAGAGCTGGGGACGTGCCTTTTGGGTGGCCGTGCGAGGGATAGAAAGTCCTTGACTCTTCCACTCCGCGAATCACGCTCGCATGATGTCTAGAGATAAATGAGAGGGCACCCCTCTAATCGTTATTGTGTCTGGTCACATACTTCTGTTCTGCGACCTTCAAAAGCACGGGCCTTGCGGCTTATATAGCTCCAAACTATTGTACCCCTAAGTTTCGGAAACTCCCATATATGAGTCAGCTTTGTTAAGGCTTGGAGCCTCTCTGCCCCATGCGCTTGGAAACACCATCCAGCCCAGTTTTCAACGCCGATAGCTAATACAGAGCAACCCTACGCAACTCTGAGGGTCCACGTGACCCTTATATACTGTGACTCTAAGGTACCTATGAATACTAGACCCAAGAGTAACCTAAGAATAAAATGGATGCCCTTTTTGGTGTAGAGGGGCTTATAAGGGAACCTGAACCTTAACAAAAGGGACAAAGGGCCTACTCTAGGTCCTAGAACAACCAGAGTAGGCCCATCCCGTAAGTCTCAGGGCACCGTAGACCCGATTCAGTCTCGGTCCTGGACAAAGTATATTGTAGCAAAGAGCCATGCAGTACGGGTGGTTGTCAAATTATGGTCCCGGTCCCCAATATAGTACGGCGCCTAAGGGACCCTAATTTTGACAACCTCCCATATGGGTAGTCCGCTAAACTAGGGTCCAGTTGAAGGTCCGTTTTGCAAGGGTGCCAGACTATTTCGGGACCTAGAAATTGACCCTAGTTTAGAGCACAACCGATGTGATATGCGGACTACAATGGCGTGGTCTTCCCCTGCCAGTACCAGCTCCATTCATCTGAGACATGGACGCTTGCGGTGGAGCCGAAGGAAGCGTGAATAGCTCCTGGCTTAGTTTGGGTTCTCTGGTGGCCTATCAAAAGCTTCTAGCTACGACGACGATAAGTGTTCAGTGTTTTAGGGTTTCGGATGCCAAGTGTATCCTTACTACCCAGGGTTCCCTGCTTTTTATTGTCACCAAGGAAACGGCCAAGCACGAACACCCCACGTCCCAGATCACTACGCTCCCCGAAGCAAGCTTCAAAGCCTTGAAGACGTCAAGCCCACACCCCCAAAACCCCTAAACCCTAAACCACACCCCCCAAACCCCTGAACCCTGAGCCTTAGTCAACCACGAACTCCGCACCCCAGAGCCCTGAACATATCCAAGGGTGCAAGCCAAACACAGTTTTCTGAGAGTTTTAGTTGGTGTTCAGGGGCCATGAGGGCGCCCTTGTGACAGCCTAGACACTTAACCCTGAAACCGAACCTGATCCCCTCGTAAGGAATAGGGCCCTCAACCCAATAGACCCGCTGACAAAATTGCCAGGAGCCCTTATCAATACTGTTAAAGGCCCACAGACCCACAGACTCCAACTTAATTAATTACAAAATATACCTTAATTTATAGGAGGATCCCTAATATGATTCAAGGAATTTGAATACTCCTGAGTTAAGGGATTTTGGACCCTTTGGCTTTGGCTCTTTCAGAATAGGGTTTCGGGTCCCATTATACTATAGTTACAATAAGGAGCCCACAAAATAGTACAGTTAACTATTAAGTTAAGGCCCCTATATTAGTTGCTGTTAACGACCCTGAGCTTCGGCTCCTTCATGATCAACTTTCGGTCGAAAACGCCAGTGTCCTCCTCGTTGCCAAAGTCCTGACTTTCCCGTGGCATCACTTTGCGCAGATGCTGCTCCAAGTCAAGGCTTTGGAGGTTTAGGGCTTTGGAGTGTAGTGTAGGAATTATTTACCTTAAACCCTGAACCAGGTGTCGATTTCAACACTACCCAAAACAATTAGGGACGGGGCGTTTCACTGCGGCACCTCGACATCCTAAACCGAATGAATTACACGGAGGCCAGGGGTTGGCTCTATGTATGGGCGCCGCTGCTTCACGCCGAACAAAGAGGCGAGAGTAACCTCTGGTCTATCGAGCGACACGACATGCAGTGGCAATAAGCGCACCCGATACAATTGCACGGTGATGACACCCATCAGCCAAGACAACTAATCGATTTGGGGCCTGGTGACACGTTGTTGCTGTACAGAAAACTGAACACGACTAATTACGGCTCTTGCTGCTGATGCTCAAAAAAGGAAAACCCAAGAGGAACCCCTCAAGCAGCCCGTGAGGGCACCTCGAAGCAGGACTCTCTCTCAGCTTCGCAGACTTTCGGCTGTTGATTCGGTCGGGTCTCCGGCGCTCTAACCCGAAGTTAATGAGGACCCTGGTTTCTGAATCTATGACTGATATGAGTTCAAAGCAGAAACCTTACATGATCCCAAAGGGGCACTAATTTAGAGAAGCCTTTTCAAGAGGGTGCAGAGGGTTTGTGGAAAGACTGTCCGACTGACCTGGTCTGGGACTATCCGACTTTGAAACGAGGCATTTGAAACTTGAAAGACCCCAATATAAAGGGGTAAAGCGGTAATTACAACTGGGGCCTTGCCTGAACTAGATGTTAGAGCTGCAGGACTTTCAGGATTTGAAGGCCCTACTCCCCGAACCCCAAACATTAAGCCCTAAACCCTGTGATGAAGGGTGCAATTGCAGGGTTCCCTGACAGTCCAAGTACTCCTCATTATGGGACTTTGAAGCTGTTTTGGGTACCAAAAACCATAAATAAGGACTACTTGGAGCCATTACAACGGTTTGCAGCAGCAGCAGCTATCACAAACTGCAGATCCTAAGAGTTTACACAAAAGCTGCGAACAAAAAGTCTGACTAAGGCTTTAGGGTTTTACGGTTCAGGGTTCTAGCAAGTTACAGTTAGGAACCCTATACCCTAAAACCCTAAAACCCTAAACCCTAAACACCCTAAAACCCTAAAGCCCTAAACCCTCAAAGCACTAAACCGTAGGGCTTAGGGTTTCAGGGGTTTCAAGTTTATTCCGACCGCTTTCCCGGGCCGCTCCTGCACCACGTCCTCCCAGTCCACAACGTGTCCGCTCCAGATCTGCCAAAACGTGGGGGAGGGGGGTTTAGGGTTGCAGTAGAATCCCAAAAGTTGGAAAACCCATAGCCTCGATCCTCAAGAGTAATGTATAAGGAATCTCCCCACTATTTGGCCTTAATCCGGTTTCCAACTTTATGGGGGTTGCTGTAAGTATTCAGGGTTTAGGGGTTTAGGGTTTAGATCTGCCAGGGGAGTTTGGAGCTCTAGGCCTTCAAAGGGTCCTAAAGGGTACCTGTATGGTAGAATGTATGTAGGTAGGGTTTCTATGCTAGGAACTCTTAGTTGCTGAGTTCATAAGCCCCAACCATGTGTACACTTTTAGTTTTATAGTGCGTAATATTATCCCAAAAAGTGTAATGTGTATCCACTCAGGGACGTATCCCCCATAAAAGTACATAGGACCCCTTTTGGGTGTGGAAAAATCTCGCCTGAGAGGCTTTCAGACAGGTCCGGGCAAGGCGTGGTGCATAAGCCACAACATCCGAGAAGCTGGGATGCTGCGGAAGTCCAGTGGCTAAAGGGGGTCACACAGGAACTTCGTATTGAACATCAAAGACAAAACTTCTGCCTGCCAATACATAACTGACTCCCAAAAACTTGCCCTAAACCCTAAACCCAAGATTCTCAACCATATAACCCTAAAGCGTGACTCCCCCTAGAAGGTCCCTTTAAGGTAGGCCACAGTTTTTTGAGACGGCTTGATAAAATGAGCCAATTAACGACAGCACCAAACAACTAGCAAAACAAAACCGCAACCTAAGCCCCAGCTGACCTACGCATTGAACGTTGCCAGAGCCAAAGAAGCATCTAGGAAGCCTTCAGCCTACATAATAAACCCATTAATTCCTACAAGCCCTTTTAAGCGCAAGCCCTGAGCCCTATAATCCTCACACCCTATAAACCTAGCACCTGAACCCTATAAATACTACAGTGAACTCTATGACAACGCTAAAAATTTCATAGCCCTGAACTAAAGCCTCCCACACCCTGAACCCTTACACCAAAATCTCAAAACCCAAACCCCACACAATAGAAGGACATGACGCTCCTAAACCCAGGTGCTTGAAGCCCCGTCCGTGTACGGAATGTGCTGGCCGTTCTGGGTCAAGTAAAAGCGTCTTTTCCAAAGCCTCAAGCCGTGCTCCATCTCCATGAAATCGCGAATGCGACCTTTGATGTCGTCCATCGTCTCGTCGCTCAAGGCCTTGACCCTGGTCTCCCATCCGCCCTCTGCCTTCTTCACCACGAAAGTCACCTGGGTCGGCATCGGGACCACGGCCTCCTCCGAAGTCCTTTCCGTCCGCAACGCAAGCCGCTGGCCTAACAGTCTTGACCTTGATCCAATATCCTCTCCATTCTTCGTCCACTCTTTCAGGCCACAGCATGGGGCTCGCCAACCCTTTCCATGTCATCTCATGCCAGAACTACCCGGGTGTTAAAACCCATAAAAACCAGCACCATCACAATAGTAATAAGGCATTTCGTAAGAATGAACGCAAAAGGAGTAAACACAATAATAACAACAACAATACCCATAATGACCCGGAACCCTATGAACTCTAATAATGACATGTCATGACATCCTATGACATATATCGAAACCCTATCATGGCTCTACAAGACAATCCTAAACCCCATCATAACCCTAAGCCCGCGATAACCCGAACCCACCCAACAACCAAAATGCACACACTTGAAACCACCGTAAACCGTGGCCCATAAGAACCACAAACCCTGAACCTTCCAAACGCCCTAAACCCTAAACCCTCAACCCCCTAAAAGCCCTAAATGCCCTAAACCCCTAGACCCGCTACGTCCCCTAAGCCCTATATAAGAGCCTAACAGCCCGAAGCCACTGGCGCTTGGAAGCCTTTAGCTCTTTGATCTGGCCATGGAAAGGCTCTCTGTCTGGCCAGCCTTTCAACTTTTCCGGCTCATTTTAGGCTTCTATAAGGCTTCCTTTAAGGGTTCCTTTAAGGGCTCCGGCCGTTGGGGGTCTTTAGGGCTCTCTCGACCCTTTCAAGACCCAAGTGTAACCCAGGAATAAAAAGGGTGCCCTTTTTGGCTTAAAGGGGCTTCCTACTTGTCGGGTATCATGGGGAACCTTCTTGGTGATATAGGGATTATATAGGGACTATACTACCCAAAAAAGGCTGAAGGTTGCCTACTCTACACTAGGGCTTACAAGGGCACCCTGAACCTTAAAACAAGGGACAAAGGGCCTACATACTCTCGGTCATTTCTGGAACCCGACAGGGCCTTTTAAAGGAACCTTACTATCCAGCACCCGCCCCCCCCAAGTGCCCTTTAATGGAGCCTGCATAGTGGGTATGTAGGGCATAATAAAGGGTAGTTGGGGGGGTCTAGGATAGGTACAAAGTTCAGGGCTTCGAAGAGGTTCAAGGCTTTCAACGGGATTGAACCCCATGGTTTCCTTCAAAGGGGAGCACATTTACAGTAGAAGCCAGTAAGTTGGAACATCCTTGTCCTCATGCCCTTAAGGTAAAGTATAAGGGATCCTAGCATTAAGTCCCCTAAACCCTAAACCCTAGCACCCTCAAAGGGAGCGCTCCCCGATGCTTGGCGATGCGTTCGGCTTGACGGTGTTTCTCTTTCGCAAGGGCTGCAACATCCAGGAACGTAGTGTACTGACTGAGGTTGTCCTGACAGGGTGGCGGGAACCCCTGTGCTCAAGTGCTTCGCGGTTCCGCCCTAAGCAGCCACTGGCCGCCGACCAAGCATCCCATTGGCACCTGGCCTGTGCCCGTCCAACAGAGTCGCGGTGCGGCCAAGGCCCTATTGGGAAGCCCTCGAGTTGCTGTTCATGTTCCTTAAGACCTCCATTTAAGCCCCCTATGAGCCTATAAGGATTTCCTTAAGGGCTCCTTTTTGGGGGGTGTATAGGGTTCCTCTTGGGGGTCTGGAGTTGCTTTCAGGGCTATGGGTTTAGGCTTGCTTTAAGGGTGCCTTCCAAAGCTCCTTTTGGGGGGGCTTATACCTTAAAGACGAGATGAACCCTAAAAGGGTTTAAGGTTTCATATATCATATAGGGATTCATAGTATATTTGTATAGGGCTCCTATTTTTGAGGGTCATATGGTCCTCCAGGTAAGTTTCCTTGTATAGAGTCCTCAAGCGGTTCCTTTCAGGGCTCCTTTGCAGGCTCCTCTTAAGGCTAAGGCTCATTGTGTCTTCAAGGGTTCCCTTCAGGGTGAAAGGCTTATCGGTTTAAGGGGTCTCCTCTTCGGGTCTACGTTTAAGGCTTGGGATTTAGGCTTGTGCACTGTTGCCTATGGTTTGTCCTTGAAAGGCTGATTCCCAGGCATGTATTGGATATCATGACGGTAGAAACAGGGCTTTATGCCGTGTTGGATTTTGATGGGGTTCCATGTTGCTTTTGCAAAACCTGGTTCTATCTACGTATGTAGGGTTTGTTACGACGGTAGCAGCTGGTTGTGTTACAAGGGGCTCGCATCGGGCCCTACAGAGGCGTTTGGGTAAACCCTAAACCCAAAACCCGAAGTTGGGGGCTTCGGGCTTTGCCAAAAGATGCGACAGTGGAAGACAGCCCTGAAAACTCCAACACTCGCTAGCACCTTACGCAGTAGTGCAACTATTCTTGCTACTGTTACAATGTTGGGCTTTTGCCATTAGTACTACTATGTGACTATACCTACTATTATGCCTGTTCTTGCTATCTACTTACTGCTAACTTTTGCTCTTATGGTTTTTTACTTGATTCCACGATGATGCCTAGCATTAAGGGTTTACAGGCTTTACAAATCCCCAAACCGCCACACCTCAAAGATACCATGGCAAGCCCTCCAAAATTGAAGCTAGTTCCAAATACTGAGCTGAAGACCAGGTATCGTGGACAGTTGAGCTGCATACGGGATCCCTGTAGTCTTTCTATGAAATTGTCATCGCCACCATTGAATTAAGACGTAAAGCATCCCCGATAGGTAGGGCTCCGAAAGCCGTCAACACTTTCAGTTGAACCATCAACTCGAAACCTGCATGCTTGTCAGCAGCCTGGTTGAGAACCCTCTTAATTACTATGCAGAATAGGACAAAGAGACTCGCATGTCGGATCATGATTCTCAAACTGAGACTCGCACAGGATTTGCCGACATACATGTACTTCCTGTCAGCCACGGGGAAATAGCATGGAAGGTCTGTAGCGAATCATTAATTTCTGAAAGGGCTACGGCTACTGACTAGGCTCGCCCAGCATGCCCCAGCCTTTCGGAAACAGCGAAAGTGCATAGCTGGCACTTCACTTGAGTATCCAGAACCCCCCCCCAATGTGTAAGTATCCAGAACCCACCCAATGTTACGTATCCAGCACCCCCCAATGCTCGAATTTGTACAGGCATGAATGTAGGGGCTGGGGCAATACAGACGATGCCGCCTGCCTTGCGTGGTGGGTCCTCAAACTCGTGTTGAATATGTAAGGCACTACAATGTGTCTACCACAGTGGCTTGCAGAATTGGAACATGGCTCTGGGTATGGTATATTATTGGAATTCATGTCCAGTACAAGTACCTGTGTCACTCTGAAAACTAGCTTAACCGAATCCATGAGGTATCGTGGCCTTTACCGAGCGCATTGTCAGCCTCCTGGTCGGTACAACAAGTGTTTAGGTTCAGGGGTTTAGGGTTTAGGACTGCAATTCTATACAACAGTGGTGCAACGTATCTCTCAGGAGTATATAAAACCTGACATACCCTGACAAGAGAACACATTGAAGCAAGATGACGCGCCCCTCATCTCATCATGAAAGAATTCAACTCGAAAACTCCGAATAGAAGTCAAGGTTTAGGGCTTTCAGGGTTTGGGGTCTGAAGCCCCATCAGCTATGTAGAAAAGGACAGTCAAGGTTTAGGGCTTTCAGGGTTTGGGGTATAAAGCCCAATATAATGTAGGAAAGGACCACAGCATATCCCGAGGCCGACCCGCGAAATCGGGGCCTCAATACTTGGACCAGGGTTTTGGGGGGTAGAGTATATTCGCATTACACAAGGAAAATTCAGGAATAGAAGCTGACCCGATGCCACTCCGTTTAGGCAAGATGTCCTGACCGTGGCGGCGTCTCCGACAGGCAAGTTGCGACAAGAGCCTGCCACTGTGCAGCCGATTCAGAAACATCCCCTGTATACGCCTCTTCGGAGGGTAGGCAAAACCTCATGTTTGCAAACTCTTCTAAAGCAAACCATTAAAAAATGAAGGTCATAAAGCAACAGAGGAAAAAACGACACGACAAGTATCGACAAGCCGGAAGGTCCCAAATCTTGTAAGGCCTCGATAGCGTAGAAGCAGTGTCACACTAGGTGTCGATGTCAAGAGTCCCAAAAATTATGTATGGTTAGGGCTCCAAGCTAAACTAGAAGTTATAGATGCCAAATCGATACCTAGTAAAGAAATATGCGTATAGTTCTACTAAGCTCTCTAGTACGTTGAATAAAGATGATAGGTGATGAAGCTCTGGAAATCCCGGAACTCTGCTGGATAAACCTTGGGTTCTTAGGGCTCACATGAAGAACCTACAAAAAGTAGGCTATGGTAGATTGTGGAAGGTTGAGGGTGAGTAGAACGAGGTATGCTGCACTAGGCTCCCCGGAATCCTTTGTGAATGGAGTTCACGCATCATTCAGTTTTAGCAAGGAAGCAAGCATCCCCACCAAGAATCGGTAAAAGTGTAATATGTGCAGGGGACAGCAGGTTCTGCAACCCTGAACCCTATATAACATGGTCATGCGCCGTTACTTTCAGTGGTCATTATGACAAAACCCGCGAGTCAAGTCTTTGGTCTTGAACCCTGCAAGGTGTAGGGTTTATTGTTTAGGGTAAGGCGCGAAAGCTGGGAAGCATGCTATATAATACGACCCGTGAAATCACTTAGAACCGATCGAAACCTGTATCACACTCGACCCTACGAAGGGTATGCAACGCCAAAATCCTACAACAAAAACCTTGCAACACGCCACAAAAGCCTTACTCCTTTTTCAGACCCTCGACAGCACCCCAACAGGAACCCTGAGAAGAAACCCAAATCCTAAACCCTGAACCCTAAACCCATAACCCTGAACCCTAAACCCTACGGTTTTGGAATCCTGGGTGACAGTGAGCCTAGAACTTCGCCATTGCCGTAGATTCGCATGTTGCCTTCCTCAGAGACGGTACACAGGTACCTGAAGCAGGGTAGAGGGTTTAGGAGGGTTTGACAGAGACCTGTCAGCCTTTATACGGCTTTGAGGGGATGGGCCCCAAGACTTCGGAGAGAGCTTCGGTATCTATTCAGCGCTGCAATACTGTTGATGATCTAAACCCTGCATTTTTCCATAATAGCGAATCTACCATAATTTCCATAGTTTAGCTTCCTTAAGGTAATGCAGCATTTATATCATCAACCGTACGGCCCGAAACTGAGCCCTGCAGCCTGGGGCCCGAAATTCTAAAGATCTACAGACCTGAAGGACCAAATGACCCATAAAAGCAGGGGCCCTATACCCATATACTATGAATCCCTATATGGTATATGAACCTTAAACCCTTTTAGGGTTCATTTCGTCCTCAAGGGACCATGCCCTAAACGCTCAAAGCCAACACTAGAACCTAAAACCTGCAACCTGCACCCTTCATTACACTCCAAAATCACTGGAAGGCTAAACCCTGCAAGCCTGACCCGCAAACAGCGAAAATGGCTGGATCTTGAAGACGCTTTCGCAGTTCTACACCGTGCTCCTGCTATGATACGCGATAACATGCTACTGTTGATGATATAAATCCTGCATTACCCGTAACCAGGAATATACCATTATTCCCATAGCTTAGGGCTTAGGGTCCTTAAGGTAATGCAAGATTTATACCATCAACCGTAGCACTCACACGGGCTTTCAACTAGGCCCCCACCCGCAACGTCGCGAAGCCCTGAACCCAAGGCCTGAACCCTCTAAAAGCCGGCAACTTTACACCGAAATACAAAACATTATTCTCAATATTGTTGTTGTTGTCCTAATTTCTATTCTTATCAATATTACTATTGCTACTACTTTTTTCTAAAGTTAATGCTATGATGAAAATCCCTGTAGGCCGAACACCAACACCCTGTGGTCCCAAAACCTTCAGCACTGAGAGCCTAAACCCCGAAAACCCACATGAAGCCGACAAACTTTGGCCATATAGGGAGTTTCCGAAAATAGGGCTACCGGGCTACCTTACTTTGGGGTCCTTATAACAAGGATCCTACTGTTTAGGGTACTATGATGGGGTCCCCTGTTTTCGGAAACTCCCAAATAGGAAAGTCCAAAACAGACTCGAAGGTTTAGGATTTAGGCCGTAAGGCAGTCTAGATTAGTATACATTCTCTGTATGGCATCCTTAGGCCAGTCCTTAAATCCCCGCATGAAGCCGATAGAACGACGAATAGAGTGAAGGATCACCAAGCCCTACACCAGCTTATAACATCCTTCTCGAACCTTACAGAAGCGCTGCCGCATGGCACCCCAAAAACCAGCCAACACCCTTCCCTAAATACCCTAAACCCTAAAGGGAACTCCAGAAAGTTGGAATATGGCTTCAGGGTAGGATACCCTATAATTTACCATAAAGGGCTTAGGACAATCATATTCCAACTTTCTGGCTTTTACCTTAAATCTCTTCAACAAACACGAAGACTCTTGGCCCTATGGGCTCCTTACAGGGGGTCCTTTCGGGGTTCTGGGGTTCCTTTAAGGATTGCTGCAAGTGGCCTTTTACGAGTTCCTGAAAAGGTTTCCGCTTTGGAGGCATCCATTGGGTAACCGTTCTAGAACCCCAAAAAGGAACTCCAGAACCCTTTAAAGGAGTCCATAAAGGGACCCCGGAAAAGGATCCCCCTTAAAGGAACCCTTAACGACACCCTATAGATCCCCTCTGAGGAAACCCTATAACCCCTAGGGCCTTAAGGGATCCCTTTAAGGAAATCCTGAACCCGAGTGCCGGACGTGCATTCCTCGTTCAACTTGAGGATTGCCGGCCTCAGAAATGGATCGAGGGTATAGGATTTAGGGGTTTTGCGGTTTGGGGTCCTGGGGTTTAGGGATTAGTGGTTTGGGGTCCTAGGGCGTAGGGTTTCGGATTCTAGGGTTTAGGGTTTAGTGGTCAGGGCTTCCAGGGTTTAGGGTTTAGGGGCTTCCGGTTTAGGAGTTTAGGGCGTAGGATTTAGGTTCTTACAGGGTTTTTAGGAGTTTAGGGTGTAGGATTTAAGTTCTTACGGGGTTTTTAGGGGTTCTTATGAACAGGCTTCTGTAAGGGTTTGGTAAGAGATCTATCGAGGTTTTTCGCAAGGAAAACAGGATGTGGGAAATTCTTCTTAGGGGCATATGGTAGTTTCCGAAAACAGGGGACCCTAATAGAGTACCCTCAATTAGTAGGATCCTTACTATCAGGACCCCAAGATGAGGTACCCCCAATTTTCGGAGATTCGGGTCTGGGTCTTGAGGGGTCTAGATGTTGAAGTGTTTATATGGGTGCCGAAGTCATTTTTGGGGGATTTTAAATTCTTGCCTGGGGTCATGAAAACGGGACCCTTAGGGGGGTAGGGAGGAGGGGGGTAGGGGACTGTACTTCTTATATAGACCTTATTAAATCCTTATTATGGGCATGAAGGCCCCCGACCCCCCTAAGGGTCCAAAGGGGTTGAAGGTGCTTTCTCCATTAAGGTTTCAGGCATTGGAGAGTGAGTTTCGTGGCGAAGAGCCCTGACCAATACGAACTGAGTGTTTGCAGGGAGGCCTATGCGGCGAAGACGAGCTCAGGCCTTATCAATGTCCACATTGGAGAGCACTATAGGCCATTGCTCGTCATTGGGTCACCTACATGAGTTGTGACGCGAATGCCCATGATTCTTCCATACACTTCGCCCGTATGGCTTGAAGGGCTCGGCCACTCTGGAAAACCATCTCCGGCCCCAGGCTCAAACGGAAGAGGAGCAACTGCGCTCTGGCCCCAGTGGCCTTGACGAGCCAGTGCACCAGCAGCCTCCCAACCTCACGCTCCCGAAACAGCTGTGTCAGCTGATCCTTGTCCTGGCTTTTAATGTCGATCAGCAGCTGTCGCACAAGCTGCGTGCTTCTCGTCGCCAGCACTCGCCGCAGCCACCACTGAAAATCCTCGGCTGCGGCTGAGGAAGCCCGAAACCCTGTTCCTAAAAGTTTCAAACAGGCCTAAAGCCCTAGTCACAACCCAAGTCCCAGCAAATCAGGATAGATCAAGGCTCCCAGTTGCGACGAGCCTGTGCCACGGGATCCTTATTGGTATAAGTCAAAGTCCGTCAAATGCAAGTCCATGTCCAAGTTCAAAAAACAACCAAGTGCAGAGAGAATGGGCACGTTGGGCCCCCTGTACAGGGGATTCTACCCTAAGAAAAGTAGACCTCTGATTGAGAGACCCTCTCGACTTTGTCTCACTGGCCCAGCCCAAGGGAATAAACGTTGAAACTTTCAGAACCGGCCATACCTTACAAGAACCCCAAAAGTTGAAAAGCTTAGTTTACAGCCAATAAGCCACAGAAATAAAAGGTTAAACTTTCCGATTCCTACTAAACTATAAGAACCCAAGAAGCTTAAAAGTTTGTTATTGGGGATCTAAGGTAAAATCCCTTAAAGAAACCCTTATAGATCCCTTGTAAGGAACCCTCTAGAACCCCTATAGAACCTAAGGATCCCTTTCAAGGTTGGGTACTGGGGATCTAAGATTTCGACTTTGTTCAAGGACCATGAGGATTTAGGGGGCTCCTCCCGGACTCCTCCCTGGAAGTTACGGACCAAACCAGACGGATCGCAGATATGAATGATGCAGATCTAGAAAGGGGCTGACGCTGAACCCAAAGCCCAAATCGTAGTCAAGCCCTGAAGCACTAGACCCGTAATCCCTATCTCCAAATCCCAAAAACACCCCATAAATCATCTGAAGATCCCCGGTAGAACCTGATACGATGTTACGGCCCTCGGGCTCCGGCACGCATGCCTGATGTAGCACCCCTCGCCTGCCATCGCACGATGCAGACAGAAGGTCCCCATGAGCCCCTCCACCCTAAACCCCTAAACCTCTAAACCCTAAACCTCTAGACCCCTAAACCCTAAACCCCTAGACCCCAAAAACCCTAAACCTCTAGACCCCATTATAAAACCGCCGAAAAGCAGCTGGCTTACACAATATCAGGGCTCCTACTTGAGAGCGAAGTCCCCAGGAGCCCCACACTAAACACCAAACCCTAGAACCTTCTTCTTTTATCTGCAACATTTGAAAACCTTTTGAAGGCTGTGGAAGTGTACAAAACAATTTGCTTGTCTGTATTTGCTTCTTGTCGTTATCGGTCTTTGTTTGCCTGGATCTTGTCTTTATTTGTCTTCATTTGTCTTCATGTGTGTTTGTTTGTCTATATTTGTCTTTAGTTGTCTATTTTGTCGAACAACCCTTGAGGATCCAAACCCTGTGGTTCTGGATCCTCGCAAAAAGGCAATGATTGAACGCAAACCCTAATCACGTAACCCCGAACCCATGCCGTGGGCCTGTAGACTTGGAAGATCAAGCTGTTCGACCTGCCCTGATTGCAGATGATGATGTTCTCCTGCAGAAGTTAAGCAGGGGAGTTAAGTATGTAAGAAAGGTTAGACGGTTAGACTGCAAAATACAGGGTTCAGGATTTAGAGTTGAAGACAAGAGGTATGCATGTATGAATGTATGCATGCATGCGTCCATGCGTCCATGAAGGCCTGAATGCCCTGCAGGCATGCGAACATGAATGCATGTAAAGAAACATAGCAGCAGCTAGCATAATGTGTAGAGAAGACCACACCACACAGTTCAGCGAAAGGACAAACATATACGCATGCATGCATACATACACACACACACAAAATCTCTACCTATACGTGCGCACATTCATACGTTTGCATACAAGACATGGTTGTGCAATACCATAGCATGCCACCGGAAGCACTTGCATACACCAAGCTACGGCCTCCACACATGCGGGAATAGACGGCCTGTGCGCATAAAGCCTTCACTGCTGAGACCGAAAGTTTTGCACATGCTACAGTTCATGAATCATGGAGTCCGAAACCAACATCCCTAAACCTAAAACATAAGCACTGAAGCCTAAACCCACAACATCCCTCACCCTAAACCCTCAGCATCGCTGAGCCCGAAACCCTAAAACCAGAACCCTAAACCTTCAGCATCCCTGAACCCGACACCCTAAAGCCTGAGCCCGAAACCCTAAAACCCCAAACCCTAAAGGCTCAACATCCCTAAACCTCAACCCTGAACTCCCAAAGGAATGTGGATGCTCCTGACCCGGACCATCGCCAAAATCGACAATGGAGCTCCAGTTGTGGAACCTAGGATTGTGGGGGTGAGGGTGTAGGGGCCTATGGTATAGAGCTTCAGGTTTAGGTTTAGAGGTTTAGGGGTCTAGGATTTAGGGCTAGGGGTGTAGGGTTTGGGAGTTTAGGGTTTAGGCTTTGAGTGTTGCAGGGGTGTAGGGTTTATGGTAGGGTTTGGGGTTCAGGCGTTAGGGGGTTTTGGGGTCCTGGGGCTGCAGAGATTTAGTTTTAGAGATTTAGGGTGCAAGCTAGGATGCCCGGTAACCTAGGAATTAATAAGAAGGGCCCCCCTTTTGGTATTGGGTAACTGTATAGGGAACCTAGGACTACAAAAAGGGAATAAGGGTACTACTGGGCATCCTAGCAATTGTTAGGGTTAGTGTTTTGAGTGCAGGGTTTAGGGAATCTGTGGTTTTGGGGCTTAGCTTGTGGACTTCTGGATTTTGGGATTCAGGGTCGATGCCCTCACAGCCTGACTCCCCGCTTTTTGGAAAAACTGAAGCTCCAAGGACTCGTAGTTGACACCGTTTGGAAGATGCAGAAGCCCTAACCCTAAACCCTAAACCCTAATCCTAAACCCAAAACCCTAAATCCCAACCCTAAACCCTAACCCTAAACCCGAACCCTAATGCAGCGGCAGCGTTTTGCAAGCGGGTACTCTTCGCATCAGGGCGGTTAGAAATGCCTCGAAAGACACAGAAAGCTCCACAACATGGCTCGAGGTGTGTTGCCTCGCTAGGTGGTATTGAGCTCTTTGGGAAGCTCCATCCCTAAATCCAGCCCTCACCCCTAAACTCTAAATCCCTGAATCCCCCTTGTGGTCCTTAACCCCTGACGCCTAAACTGCAAACCTGTGGAAACCTGAGGCGCAGACGAGTACCACCTGCAACAGCAGAGGGGGACAAGAGGTTTGAATAGGAATGCGTAAAGTGATATACGGTTTTGATGGGCTTGGGCCCGCCTAATATTTAGTGCCTGAATATTTCGAAAGTTCTGCAACGGAAATTATGATTCTTTGCGATGGTATGAAGTTTTATGATCGGCAACAGGGGGTTCAAGGAACCAGACAGGGGGCTGAGTATGCCAAGGGCTCGAGGCAGGAATTCACAAGAGGGTTTGCGGCATTCGGCTTTTATGGAAGTCTGCCTGATGTATACATATGTATACAGTCGAGACATGAACCTACCGCTATCAACACTCAGCGTAACAACGACCGGACGTCAGCTCGATAGGAAACGGGGTATAACTGAGGTTGTATAGGCACCTGTACCAAGCATGTAATCGCACAATCCTCCAAGCAAGCTCTAAACCCTAAACCCTAAACCAAACCCAAATGCGCGTCCCAAACATCCTTAAAACGCGACGATGCGAAGTCTCGATCCCAGAAGCTGCCTCTGCGTGGTATGCTTCGATATCCAACCACCCAGTGTCCAAGTATCCTTGACTAGACCCAAGAGTAACCTAGGCATAAAAAGGGTGCCCTTTTTGGTTTAAAGGGGCTTGTAAGGGAACCTGAACCCTCAAAAAGAGAAAAAGGGCCTACTCTGGGTCCTAGTTGAAGCATGTACTCCCCCACATGCACTTTATCCCCCAGCACGACATGCGAGGGCTCCGAGGATCGTGAGTAAGAAGCCCACATGACACCCCTTGCAAATAGGCCTTTGTAAGCCATACTTCTTCTGTTGCCATGAACTCCTTCTACCCTGACCTGGTAGGTACAAGATTTCCATTCAGACCAGAATTAAGAGTTGGGTCTTATTGGAAACTGAGAAGCCCCAACAGAAGCTTGCTACGCTCTGAACACTCCTAAGACGTGCATCAGGCGTATAGAATGCTACTCTTCAAACCCGTATAACTTATAACCTAATCACTGCAGCTTTCAGAGAAGCCTCTGAGGATGCAGACTTTTCGCTAGCGAATGGTGGAAGTGCCGAAGAATAATATACTCTCCCAAACCCTAACCTGCAAGACTTCCTTCCCGGAGCCCAAGTACATAATTTTGTCAAGTCCTTCCATCCTTAAACCCTTGGGTTCTGGGGCTACCTACCGTCAGTTGAACCTCGAGCCCCAACCCTAAACCCTCGTTCGGTCTTTAACCCCTGAAGCCTAAACCTTGAACCCTGAACCCTAAGATATACCCCACTTAGAACCACACTAAAAACATATTCATTATTCTCTTGGTTTTATCTGAACAAATATACAAAACATAGTTCCTAAGGAGACTATCGCAAGCCCAAACCTAGATCATTGTTGGGATAGGATTAACATGTACATTTTAATCGTATTGGGTTTTTAGTACCCATAAACATGCAAAATGTCACCCCAACTATGACGAAGAAATATTTTCTAAATTTTTGTTATGATAATCCCTGAGAAACAACTAAAATTAAGAAGCTTTCTATTGGCCTGGCAGTGAAGAGGATGCTGAAGACCGGCTTCAGCCTGCTTAGGGATCTAGGGTTTATTTAGGGTTTAAGGTTTAGGATCCTAGAGTTTAGGGGTTTGTTTAAGGGTTTGGGGTTTAGGGCTTTTTAAGGGTTTATTTTTTGGGTTCAGCGTTTAGGATCTTAGGGTTTAGAGTTTTTTGGGGTTTAGGGTTTAGGATCATGGGGTTCAGGGTTTAGGATCTTAGGGATTGGGGTTTAGGGTTTGGGGTTTAGGGTTTAGGGTTTAGGATCTAGGGATTGGGGCTTGGGATTTCGGGTCTTATCGGGCTTCACGGTCTCAGGATGTCGGTTTGGGGTTTGGGTTTTTGGGTTTTTGTGGCTTTAGAATTTAGGGTTGGTGTTCTTCTCTTTGGTTGGTGGGCTCTTCTAGGGCGTTTTCGGCTTGTTATCGGGCTTTGGGGGGGTAAGCTGCCGGTGTTCAAATCTGCTGCAATGGCCTTGGGTGGAACAGCGGGTTCCACACCAAAAGACCGGGCCTGTAGGTCATTATGTCACGTTTTACCTGAAGGACCAAATGACCCTTAAAAGTAGGGTCCCTATATCCATATACTATGAATCCCTATATGGTATATGAAACTTAAACCCTTTTAGAGCTCATTTCGTCCTTCAGGTAGGGTCTAGGGTGCAGGACTTAGAGTCTAGGTAGGATCTAGGTTTTACGGTTCGGGATCTAGGTTTTGTGGATCAAAGTCTGGGCTTGGAGGTCACGGGCGGAGCATCTTTGGAAGGAGCTTGCTCTAGTGATCGAAGTTCCTACAAGCATGGAAACACGCTAACCCACATACCTGAACACATCCCGAGAAGACCTCAAACTTGCTCGGAAAACCTCAATGCCCTCAACCACCCAACAAGAAACAACAAAACAGTGCACACACACACAAAGAGATTCCTGCTAGGAGTTTAGGCTTTACGGCTTTTGGACTCGCGTCTAAACCCATTGGGAGAGACTGAAGACCACCTAGCTTTGGGTTTAGGGTTTAGGGTTTAGGGTTTTTGCAGTTCTGTCAAATAGCTAGGTTTTTCCATTGCCTTCTAGCCAGTATCGTACCCTTTTCTCCTGTTACACTGTCACTGAATTTTCATCTGGAGGTATCGCCCGTGAAAGAGAAGCACAGGGCTACCACTTGAGAACTTGCCTTGCTAATGAGGCAGAGGGTTGAAAGGATTGGGGCTTAATGGCTCCGGGGTTTCGGGGTTCTAGGATTTGTGGTTTCAGATGTGACCGGCTCTCTCTTGCAACTGTAACTGGGCAAAAAAGAACACCTAACAACACCGATCATTCATTCGGACCACGGTGAGGGGAATTCTCTACGCGCCACCTTCTTAAGGTTGACATAAGTGCTGTCATAACTGCGCTAGGGTTTTCGGGCATACTACGGTTGATGATAAAGGACCCTAAACTATGGGAATGACGGTATATTCCTTGTTATAGGTAATACAGGATTTATATTATCAACAGTAGTTTTTAGTTCTGACAGGAATGGTGATGGAAACACTTTTGGGTTCTTCTGTATTTCTCAGTTTGAGTACGGAAGCCCGCCGCGAACAAGCATATTTCGAGGCTGACGGGACTTAGCAAACAGCTATACTGATAACGGAATCTAACAGACACAAAACCAAGAGGGTCCGTATATACTCCTGTTATGGAAATATGTCCCAAACGACCATCCAGGACAAGTTTTCACATGTTATTACCTTTCTCTCCCTCGTGCTCGGCAGAGAATGGGGGAAGGGGATTATGTAGGGACTACTGCAGGGATCCATTCCCCCATTCCCTACTAAGCACCAGGGAGTCTTGCAAACTGCCCTCCGGGTTCCCACGCTTCCCGGCAAAGTTCTGCCGCAAGTCCTCATGAGAACCAAAGCCGTGCTGTCCTCGCCACAGGGGCTCGCATCGTCGGGGTACCGACGAGGCTCAAGGCCACAAAGTCTAAGCTTTAGGGGGTCTAGGGTTGAGTTCAGGGTTTTGGGCTAATTTCAAGATTTTACGGATCAAATTGTAGGGTTGGGGTTTGGAGTTTTTAGGTTGGCAGGGCTAAATGCTGTAGAAGAAAGCCTTCGGCGCTTCCTTAAAGTGTACTAGGAAGCCCAATCAGGTTTCAGGTCCCAAACCCTAAACCCTAAAGCCTTAACCCTAAACTCCTTAAGTAAGGGGGTTTTGCAGTTTCCGGGTACAGTCTCTAATAGCAATGATAAGGCCCCTACAGCGATGAAGGGCTACGTGCTTTGGCCTTTAGGTTTTTCAGGCTATTAACTATAGGGGTTCATGGAAATGGAAAACCTGAGGCGCCAAAGCTGCACGAGATACATCTTGATGTATGACCTCCACGGATATGCCGCTACACGGACAACACTTCGAGCGTTCAGCACGGCCCTAAGCTTGCTCATCCCAAAAGCTCTCTGCATTGGCATTGGAGGAGTCGGCCATCGTCGCCATGGTTCCGAGACATCACCGGTACATGTGCCTAGACACAAAGCCAAACGCGGCCGACCTCCTGTACCCTAAACCCTAAACCCCTAAACCCTAAACCGTTCCACTGTATTAACAAAGTGCTCAAAGCCCAGAAAAAGCTTTGACTTACCTTTGGTTAGTAGGGAATGGAAGAATGGTAGTAATAGTACTTATAACTGTACCCCAGTCCTCCATTCCCTACTAACCAAAGGTAAGAAACCCTAAACCCCCAAACCCCAATCCCAAAACCCTATACCCTTAAATCCCTAAACCCATAGCAAAGTGCTCATGGCCCAGAAAAGGCTTTGATTCTCAGGCCATGCGAAAAGCCGAAAGTCGCTTGGGAGCAGCGCGACGTGTTTACCGTGGCAGGCCAGCGGGGCTTAGGGTTTAGGGTTTTTTGAGGGTTTAAAGTTTTTTGGAGTTTAGGGTTTCGGATCTTAGGGTTTAGGGTTTTTTTAGGGTTTAGGGTTTCGGATCTTAGGGTTTAGGGGTTTTTTAGGGTTTAGGGTGTTGGAGTTTAGGGCTCAGGGGTTTATAGAGGGGTTTAGGGTTTAGGGTAGCTTGTTCGCAGCCGCCAGATGATCTGTGCATGTCCATCCCCGTCGCTATGTGCAGAAGCGCGGGAGCTTCGGAGGTCAATTTCCCTAAAACCCATCATCTCACGCATCGTCGTTCTTGTGGCCCAAGCGGATCCTTCTTGCCCAATCTTACCCCAAAGGGTCCTAAGTACCTATATGGTAGAATGTAGGGTATAGTTGGGGAAGTATCCTCCATAACAGTACCCAGGACCCTTTGGGTACCCCTAAAACCAAGCCATAAGAACCGAAACCTTGTAAAACTGGGCTCTTGTCCAGGAATTCAATACTGCAATATGGCTTCCTTGTGGTATAAAGCAAATAATCTGGCTTCCTCATTCTGGTAACTTAAACGAAACCCCTTTAACAAGAACCCAATACTTAGTTGCTGAGTTCATAAGCCCCCAAAACTGTACACTTTGAGTTTTATAGTGGCTGATATTGTCCCAAAAAGTGTAAAGTGTATCCACTCAGCTACTAAGAATAAGGAAGCCTCGAAAAAGCCCGAAGCTCCTGAGAAATCCCGTCCCGGCATGTCGATAATCGGCTCCTGCCAGCAGAATTTCGGCTCTGGGTCAAATATAGGGGCCTGAATAGGGTTCCTTTACAAGGGGTCCTTTAAGGCCTTCCCTTATAAAGGGGTCCTTGTAGGGGCTACCATAAGGGATAATTGCTAGAAGTACCATAATGTAGGGATAGAGTTCTTTTAACAGGGGTCCTCAAAGGGCTCTACAAGGGATCTATCTATAATGTAGGGGCCTTACTAACTAGAATAGGGTTCCTTTAAAAGGGGTCCTTAAAGGGCTTTATAGTGGGGTTTTATAGTATAGGGGCCGTAATACTCAGAACAGGGTATTGAGGCCCAGTAGACTATAATCATGCGGTTTACGGTTAAGGGGTTTAGGGCATTGGGGGTTTAGGGTTTTCGAGCTTAGGGTTTAGAGGGGGCAAAAAGGGTGTGGGATTTAAGCTCCAAGGGTTTGGTGCCTTGGGGTTCGGGGACTTCACGTTGGTGTTTAGGGATCTTGGGGTTTAGGATTTCGGGCTTAGAGTTTAAGTTGTAAAGTTGGAGGTTCAAGGCTTAGAGTTGAGGGTTTAAAGTTGACGGTTTAGGGCTCCTGTCCTAACTATAGCGACACTGTTCCGGGTCCGCACGGGCTCCATTAAGGGTGCAGGTAGACCATGGCTCAAGAACTGCCCACGATGCTGTGGCCAGATTCTCCAGCACTACCTTACCCGACGGCTCCAGTTACTTTGATAGTAATGTAAGGGCCTGGATAATTAGAATAGGGTTGGAGGGGTTCCTTAGTATAAATATAGTATAATGGGCCGCAAATCCAAAACCCTATTCTAACTGTTAAGGCCCCTATAGTAGGTTGCTAACCATATAATGTATAGCCTAGCCCAATAACCACAAATTATTTAAGTAACTGGAGCCTTAGGGCTATATGGGTGGTTGCAAAATCATGGTCCCTTTTTGGGTCCCTAATATAATACGGCACCTATTATTTAGGGTACCCAGAAGGGACCCTAGTTTTCGGAAACTCCCGTGTACTTCTAATGGTACCCCCCGCCCCATCTAGAGCAAATGCAAGTCGCCTGGGAGCTTCGACCTGTAACGCTGAAAAGAACCGTGTGTTTCCCAATCGCCTCGCCGAGCCATACCCCTAGGGATCTACGGACTCATATATTACATCTTTTGGGCCCAAAGACCATAATATATAAGGCTTTTGGGCTATTTTGATCACTAGGACAATCGTACTGGGTTTCCGAAACCCACCTTAAACCACTTCAAACCTCCAAAACGCCTACACCAAACACAGCCTTCAGTGCAAGTTACGAACTTCCGTGCGACAAAGCTGAAGCGGTCCTGCAAAGTCTTGCTAGCACCAGTCGAAACATCCTTGTCCGCAACGCCAAAACCATCACCATCATCGACATCATCATGGCCATCATCGTCACCATCACTATCACCATCATCATCGTCATCATTGACATCATCATCATGGAGAGAAGAGCAGCAAGTAATGGCACCGAATGCCAGAAGGCCTCCGAGGTATCGTCGAAGTCATCCCTTTCCAGGACAGGCTTGACACAGATTTCTGGGGGTGGGGCCTGCACTGCTCTAGAAGCATTGAGAGTTGGAGTAAAAGGCATAATCCAATACTGTCGAGACCGTTTGACAGCTACTGCTACATGGGGCTCAGGGTACTTACTTGCTCGTAAACTTCAAAAATTGTCTTGGAGCTGATTGGGTATTTAGGGGCTGGGTAATGCTGGCCCGCCATTGTGCATGGACTTGCTGCTGCAAGGGGGTTTACGAAAGCTATAAGCACTTACCTCCCTGGCGGGGTTGACGAGCCTCGGTAGCTAACAAAATCGAAGGACGTGGTAGGGATAGAGATCAGCCACAATCTTCAGACCCACAGAGGCGCAGATACGAGCTGAGGAGTCTGGTCTACAGTCACGTCCCACAGCTCTGAGCCCTGGACTTAGTTGCTGAGTTCATCAGCCCCAAAATATGTACAATTCGAGTTTTATCGTGGCTAATATTATCACCAAAATTGTGAAGTGTATCCACTCAACCACTAAGTGGAACCTCAAGCTCTAAGCCATGAACCTTACCGGCACCCTACACTCGCAACGAAACCACGTGATGACTAGAATGTGAACTCCCAACCCATCGTCTGGATCTTCTACATCCTATGAACTAACCAGCCACACCCTAACCATCCCTCTACCACGGCGCCGGAGCTTAAGAACCAACTGAGCCAATCCTTTTATTGTCGACCGCTATGCGGCAGTTGATTGCGCTGAAACCCTTTCAAGATATGTTTCGTCCGTAAAGTCATGGAACTCCTGAAGGACACCATCTAAAGAACACAGGAACATGGGTAGGATGTGCCCTGGTAATTCCTAGAGCATCATGGTATAATATGCCCCGAAAGCCACTTGAAGGAACCCCTTTAGCACCCCTAGAACACTGTCAGCACCCCGAGTCCATGAAAAGATCCTACACCCTAAACCCTGCCCGTTTCCTGAACCTGGAACTTCAAAACCACAATCGCTGAGCTCCAAATCGTAGACACCAACCCCAAACCCCAAGCCCCAAACCTGCAACCCAAATCCCCAACGCTCAACCCAGAACCCCAAACCCCTGAAGTACCGAAGCTGGGCTCTGAAATAACCAAGGAAAAACATAGAACTTCATTCCAAAATGGTGCCCCTAAAGGGAATTGGTACCAACAAAACTGCATTAAAGTATGGTGCTCCCGACCCAAAGGGTCCGAGTAATAGTATATTATATAATATATAGTTTGGGGGCCCAATTATCTATTTAGGAGCTACCATATTGGCACTTGGACCCTAAACCCCCGAAGCCCTAAGCCCTAGCCCTTTTGCCCTAAACTCTCAAATTCTAAACTCTTAAACCCTAAGCCCTAAACCCCTAAAACCCTGAACCCTTTAAACCCTTTTTTGCCGCCAGGAGTCTCCGAATCCGAAGCCGCGACGCTCATTCCATCTTCGCCTTGCTGCGTGGCACCTGGGCTTCAAGGGTTTAGGGTTCCTTTAAGGGTTTAGGGCTTAAGGTTCCTTTAAGGGTTTACGGTTCCTTTACTGGTTTAAGGTTCCCTTAACGGTTCAGGGTTCCTTTAAGGGTTTATATACGGTTCTTTTCAGGGTTTAGGGTTCCTTTAAGGGTTGAGGGTTTTTTCAAGGGTTTAGGGTTTCTGATGTTTCTGTTAGGGTTTAAGGGTTTAGGGTTCCTGAACTCGCTGATTCGCGTTTCTCAAGGTGCTGTGTTGTGCGATGCGAAAGGGTCCAGGACGCTTTTGCCCCGGATGCGCTCGCAGTCCGCAACACCATCGAAAAGCACGTTGGCGGCCGACATGTTTCTGGTATGCGCCCTAATGAGTAGCAGCAATTCCAGTAAGAAGGCTTCTCAAAGGCGAATTACGAATTGCAGCTGCATCAAGTCTGTGACCTCCCAAGGTCAAAAGCCTAAAAACGAAATCCACGCAGAAACCCTGTACCTATAGTCTCCATTGTAGTTCCTTTTTGGGGTTACCGTTTAGGATCCCAAAACTATATATATATATATATATATGGCTAAACCAAGAAAAGGAGCTACAATGGAGACTATAGGTAGAAATCTACAACTTACAAGTTCATGTAATCGATGGTCAAACTTAAAGTGGAAACCTTGCAGTTTCTGAAGTCAACAGCTAAACCCTAAAGCCTTACCCTTAGGCTGCAAGGACTCACATTTTAAGGCTTTTGGGCCCAAAGACCATACTACATAAGGCTTTGCGGCTATTGTGAGCCTTAGGGTTAAAGTCTTCAAGCCCAAACCCGAAAAACCGTCAGTGGTGTTTCATTCCAAGTCACACAGTTCGGACGCAAAGATACAGCAAAGCTATAGTCTCCATGTAAGGTGCATGAAGCTGGGGCATGGGACGTTGGTAAGGTTCAGGGTTTTGGTGTTCAGCGTTTAGGGGTTATATCTCTCTATGTTACTTCGGCTCAGGAAAACCTCAGCGAAACCCTGCTGTCTGCCCGAGCCCAAACCCTAACTTGCTTGCACAGTTTCGGCCCCAAAACGCGAGCCTCATACCCCGACTTGGAACCTTCCAATGACTGGTCTCCGAGCCTGAAGAATCGTACGGCCCAGAAAAGGACACCAATTCAAAGGGGCCCTAATTTAGGGAACTGCCCATCTACTGGGTACAGTGTCTGCCACGCTGTCGGAAATAGCCGACGAAACACAAGCCCGACCGCAAGAAACCACCGGCCTGAAAACCCTAAAACAACACTGAAGCCCAAATCCCTATAAACCCTAGACTCCTAAACCAGTCAACCCTAAACCGAACCTTAAATGCTAAACCCCTAAACCCCTGAACCCTCAACCCTAACCCGAAATCCTCAACCCCCGAAGCCCCGAACAAGCCCTACTTGCTGGGTATCATGGGGCACTAAAGGTTAGCCCTTCTGGTTATATTAGGGATTATATCGGGACTAAACTAATTACCCAGAAAGGTTCCAGGTTACCTACTCGACTACTAGGAAGCCCTCAACCGAGGACCGGGCTCACTTTGGCCTTCTCCAGGAAACTGCCTGCAGACTGCAGCAAAGCCTGAAGCTGCCAGGATCTGAGTTTGCGTGGGTGCTTACAAGTTATCCCTGCGTATTTCAACCTACCTTTCAGAGCTTAGTTGCTGAGTGCATAAGCCCCAAAAAGGAGCTTCCCTAAAGGTCCAAGCGCTCAAATAGTAGGGTTTCAAGATCCCAAGACCATTCAGAGTATGGATTTGGGGATCTGAAACTTGGACCCTCTGAGTTTGCTTGGGTACCTACAACTTATCCCTGCATAACCCAAAGGGTCCACATATACTACCATTATCGAACCCAAAAGACCATCCTGTTATGGTTTTGGGGTCCTAGTTCCATAATACACATGGGCCCTCTGGGGAATTCAATCAGGCAGGATTTTTAAGGTTGAGGTAGGGTTACGCATTAGAGTCTAGGGGCTTCTTCGAGTGTACCTGAGCGACTCTCGGACTTACAAACTTTGGGGGGTTTCGGAGCTTAGTTGCTGAGTTCATAAGCCCTCCGAAAAGTACGCTTTGAGTTTTATTGTGGCTAAAATTATCCCAAAACCTGTGTGTAAAGTGTATCCACTCAGCTACTAGTAAGAGAGGCCGGGAGAAGGGCTTGATGGGTTTAAGGTTTAGGGTTGGGGGGTTTAGAGTTTAGGATTTAGGGTTGATGTTTTAGGGCTTAGGGTTTAGGGTTCAGGGGTTTAGGGGTTTGGGGTTTAGGGTTTAGGGGTTTGGGGTTTAGGGTTTAGGGGTTTAGGGTTTAGGGTTTAGGATTTGGTTTGAAGCTGTTGGGGCCTTGGGTGAGGCTCGGGCTTGAAGGACTAGGGAGTTTTGGGTATTCGGTTATGGGTTGATGGTCTGAAGGACCAAATGACCCTTAAAAGTGTAGGGCCCTATACCCACATACTATGAATCCTTATATGGTATATGAACCTTAAACCCGTTTAGGGCTCATTTCGTCCTTAAGGTGGTCTCTGTTGTGTCCTCGCCGACACTGGAAGGAGTTTTCGGCCCGACATCGTCCTCCGTCAGCAAGTAGATGGTGTAGTCCTTGCCACCAACGCCCTTAGTCTCAGTACTGCCTGGAACACTTGTCGTCGCCTTCTCAATCTTCTTCTCCGCAGCGTCCTTCATCAGAAATCGCCATTTTGTCAGCACTGCCACTGTTCCTAACCTTGAAACCCATTGTCTTAACCAAAGACAGCAATCCAGCCTTCGTCTTCTTCATCAGAACATCCGTGCTTCGAGTGGCAACCTCCAACTCGTCAAAGGGGCTCGCAACAGCACCGCTGGCGTGTGGTCCAAACAATGCCTTATTAACTAGGGCCTTGAGGTTTGGGGCTGTGGTGAGTTTAGCAGTCTCCACCTTCCAGGTTCTCCGGCATCCCGCTGGAAAGGGCTGTTCTTCAGACCAAGAGGCAGGACTGGCATTAAATGCAAATCCAAAATTATTGCGGAAGGACACCCGTCGGAGAATCCCGGACATATACCATCTGTGATATACTATAATGGACTATAGTATACTGCAACATATGATAAGATGCTACAACACACTTTGATATACCATATCATACTATGATATACTGTATGTTGCTACTGTCCCAGTGAAGCATCCACCGGGTTTCGTGCAAGCACGATGATCGCACAAAATGCGTAAGACAGACGAACCGATGTTCTGTGTCGTACTGTTACGATTGTTACTACAACTAATGCTTGCTAATGATGCTTCTAGTACGATTACTATTACCATTACTATTCCTGTTACTACTACTACTACGACGACGACTACTACTATTACTACTACTATCATACTACTGCTACTGCTACTGCTACTGCTACTGCTACTGCTACTGCTACTGCTGCTGCTGCTGCTGCTGCTACTACTACTACTACTACTACTACTGCTACTACCAGCTCGAGGTTACAAGACCCAGGAGAAATATCACAGAACTCACGAAAGGATGAACACCTCCAACAAGACGTTGACAGCCGGACAACCATAAAAGCCCTAAGCCCTGAATCCTAGACCCCGAAGCCCTCGAACCCAAACCCTAAACTTTAAAAGCCCTACAGTCTAGTACCTTCACTTCTGAAGCCCCCTCTCGACCCTTACGGTCGTAGCGTCTATGCGCTGAGAACCACGCAGTCTCGCGCTGCTTGCACTCCGTCTGCTGTCGCTCATTCAGTAAGAACGCAAGGAACCTTGGGAAAGATAACCCTGAGGGTATATAGGGGTTTCGGGATTAGTTCGTTCAGTAAGAACGGGAACCTTGGGTAAGATAACCCTAAACCCGAAACCCTAACAGGGCTTTGGGTATATAGGGGGTTTCGGGAGTAGTTCGTGCAAGGAACCTTCCATTGGGTCTATGTAGGGTGAGATATAAGAGCCTATGAGGGCGTATGGAGTTTGTCCTCCGTTCAGTACGAACGAACGCAAGGAACCTCGGGGGAGGTTTAGGGGGTTGCGCGTTTGGTTTAGGGTTCTTTACAGGGAGCTATAAGAGGTACGATAAGGGTTCTTAGGGAGGGGGGCATGTACGGAAGGGGGGCAGAGGAGCAGCTTAAAGAGCTCTTTGGGCTTTGATGGCTTTAAGATGAGGTTCTTGGGGCTTAGAAGTCTGGGGGCCTTATGGGAGGCCTCAAAGGCTGGGGTGGGGGTGGGATGAAGGTAGGTAGGATTAAAGATACCTTATATCAGGACTCCTGTTTGGGACTGCACTAACCCCTAAACTATACCATCCTTCGAACCATGATAAAAATTACGTTTAATATTTTCCTGGGCTTTATATGAACAAATAATCCTAAGGAGACTATCGTAAACCCTAAACCCTACCTTCATCCTACCTTTCGAGGCCCTTGAGCTTGGGGATCTGAGGTTCGGGATTTGGGGGTGTGGGACTTGGAGGAACTACCAGATGCGAAAACATCAAAGCATGCACAAATACAATTGTAAAGATCGATTCTATCTTAATAGTCTAATCAAGGGCCACCAAGGAATAATATTATGAAATGTTCGAGCGCTGTCATACCAACCCTTCAACCGCAAACCCCGGAACCCAAACCTAATCCCGAAACTACAACAACCATTCTAATATCCCTTATTGAACCTCCTGGCAACCCTAAAATTGAGCCCCGAAGGAATGCAAACCCAAAGAACCCCCAACCCCCTACAGACACTAATCCCTAAACCTTAAAAGCACCCTAAACCCTAAACCCCTAAACCCCTGAATCCTAGACCCTAAACCCCCAAACCCCAAGCCTTGAACCCTAAACCCCTAAACCCTAAACCCCAAACCCCTAAACTCATGAACCCTAAACCCTAAGCCCTAAAACTAAAACTCTGCTGCCCAGGCGGCAGATCCACTCTTTCGAGCCCATTGGCAGATGTAAAGATCTCTTGCTGCACCCGGCAGTCTTCTGGCATCAGGGTTCGATGTAGGATTGAAGCCTTTGGGTATTCTGCAGGGGTTAAGGATTAGGATTAAGGCTTTCGGTTTTAGTGGTTTGGGGTTATGGCATGCACATACCCTACGCCCTACATGCTCCAAGCCCTATACTCTAACCCTCGAGGCTGTAAACACCCTACACTGATGGGAGGCCAAAAGGTGGGTTTGAGATTCTCGGGGTAGGGATTCCGTAATATGAACCCTAATATGGGAACCCCAACCCCTACTAAACCCCCCTAGGCTAAAACCCCTTCTGGCCTCCTATGATACCCCTATAGATCCTTAAAGGAACCCCTATAGATCCCTTAAAGGAACCCCTGTGATACACCCTGCAGGCCTCTGGTGTTGGTTAACCTCTCCGGGTCTCCAACAAGATACTGACTGCAACGGGATACAGTAAGTATGGTTATAAGTACCTTAGTTGAGGCTATAAGTAAGTATAAGTATAGTTACCTTAATTATAAGCCTAGTTACTAAGTCCCATGATCCTCTAAATCGAAGCCAGAAAGTTGGAACATCAGTAGCCTCATGCCCTTAAAGTAAAGTGAAGGGAATCCCAGCATTAATCATCCTAAATCCATGTTCCAACCTTCTGGGGTTCACGATATTGGAACAACTTACCCAAGCCTTGTTTACAGCGTTGTCCTGTCAAGGAAAAGAAACAGGACCCTACGCCCCAGTCCTTTAGTACGGTTGATGATGTAGACCCTGCAGTACTAAAGGATCTAAACTATGGGAATAACGGCATATTCCTGATTATTGGTAATGCAGGATTTATATCATCAACAGTAGGAACCCGTTTAAAGAAGCTGCCAAGCCTACCCCTACAAACCCCAGCCCTAAACCCCAACCCCCCCCCCCCCCCCCCCCGTGGCCGGCTTAAACAGGATATAGTCGCCAGCTGAAACTGTGGGTTTTCATTGCATACTATAGACGTAGGTATATCGCGATTGTACTGGACCGACGTCTCTCTATACATACTCAATACAAGTATAGAATCTTTCGTCTCGCCTCATCGACATTGGTGGGGCTCCTTGGAATGTAGACAGACGGATCAAGAAAGGGTGGAGATTCCCCCCAACCCTCAACGAAAACACGGAGAAAGTCCCTCCAAATCATTCAGCTGATTCCTAGCAGCGAGCTCCTCTACCTCCCTGTAAGTCTCCATCTCCTCTGACGATAAATGAAGGGAGCTCGCTGCTTCGTCATCCGCAAGTCCGCAAGAAATGAGCTTCTTATCCCCAAAAGGGTAAGGAAGAGGTCCCTTGGCACATCCTCTACCGCAGCATCTCAAAGGAGCAGAGAACCCTTCCAACTTACGGGAAAAAAAGAACTCCGGCTGCCTCTCAGTCGACAAGAAGAGAGAGGAGCTCCTTGTCGTCCCCTCTTCCTCCTCAAGGGATAGAAGAGAGATAGCTTTCAAGAAGTGAGGACTGAGCTGTCCGGGTTTCGTGTGCGATGCTGAAATGTCGTGGCTGAGCCCGCGCTAAGGCCAACGCGGCCGCCGATCGTTCTGATCGATATGCGGCTTCCAGGCCAGCGCTTCGAGCGAGAAGTCGCCGGCAGACTCTTCGGCGGCTTGGTCTCAATCTTCACAAGAAGAGTCTGATCCTCCCCCTAGCCTTCAATAAGACATGAGCAGCCCTCTACCCCATCCTCTGAACTAGCTTCCAAAAAAATCCTCTGCCTCATCCTCGACAAGAAGAGACTAAGAGCAATCTAAAGGGGCAGAAGAAAGCGCCATCTCAACAAAGCAAACAGGCCGCTCCAACTTCACGAGAAAGAAGAGGGCTCCGTTTACCCCTCGGCAAGAAGAGACCTCCTTTCTTTCTTGAAAAGGGGAGGACGCTCAAGAAGAAAGGGTGGAGCTCCCCCAATTTTCAAGTAGAGACATCTGGTCATCCCTCAGCATTTAAAAGGAAAAGACCTCATGCTCCAAAACACAAGAAGGGAGTCCCAAGGTGATTTGTGGCAACAGAAGAGAGCATCCTTCTTACCTCTTGGTATGTCGCCTTTTCGTCTTAAGAAGATTGAGGAGACCTCGCTCCTAGCAAGAAAGGATAGAGCTCCCCTAGCTTCCAAAAAAAAGATTTTCTACCTCATCCTCCACAAGAAATCACTGAGAGCTTCCTCCCACCATCTCCTCTGACGATAAATGAAGGGAGCTCGCTGCTTCGTCATCCGCAAGAAATGAGCTTCTTTTCCCCAAAAGGGTAAGGAAGAGATCCCTTGGCACATCCTCTACCGCAGCATTTCAAATGAGCAGAGAACCCTTCCAACTTCACGGGAAAAAAGAACTCCGGCTGCCTCTCAGTCGACAAGAAGAGAGAGGAGCTCCTTGTCGTCCCCTCTTCCTCCTCAAGGGATAGAAGAGAGATAGCTTTCAAGAAGTGAGGACTGAGCTGTCTCAATCTTCAAAAGAAGAGTCTGATCCTCCCCTTAGCCTTCAATAAGACATGAGCAGCCCTCTACCCCATCCTCTGAATTAGCTTCCAAAAAAATCCTCTGCCTCGAGGATTCGACAAGAAGAGACTAAGAGCAATCTAAAGGGGCAGAAGAAAGCGCCATCTCAACAAAGCAAACAGGCCGCTCCAACTTCACGAGAAAGAAGAGGGCTCCGTTTACCCCTCGGCAAGAAGAGACCTCCTTTCTTTCTTGAAAAGGGGAGGACGCTCAAGAAGAAAGGGTGGAGCTCCCCCAATTTTCAAGTAGAGACATCTGGTCATCCCTCAGCATTTAAAAGGAAAAGACATCATGCTCCAAAACAAGAAGGGAGTCCCCAGGTGATTTGTGGTAGCAGAAGAGAGCATCCTTCTTACCTCTTGGTATGTCGCCTTTTTGTCTTAAGAAGATTGAGGAGACCTCGCTCCTAGCAAGAAAGGACAGAGCTCCCCTAGCTTCCAAAAAGAAAGATTTTCTACCTCATCCTCCACAAGAAATCACTGAGAGCTTCCTCCCACCATCTCCTCTGACGATAAATGAAGGGAGCTCGCTGCTTCGTCATCCGCAAGAAATGAGCTTCTTTTCCCCAAAAAGGTAAGGAAGAGATCCCTTGGCACATCCTCTACCGCAGCATCTCAAATGAGCAGAGAACCCTTCCAACTTCACGGGAAAAAAAGAACTCCGGCTGCCTCTCAGTCGACAAGAAGAGAGAGGAGCTCCTTGTCGTCCCCTCTTCCTCCTCAAGGGATAGAAGAGAGATAGCTTTCAAGAAGTGAGGACTGAGCTGTCTCAATCTTCAAAAGAAGAGTCTGATCCTCCCCTTAGCCTTCAATAAGACATGAGCAGCCCTCTACCCCATCCTCTGAATTAGCTTCCAAAAAAATCCTCTGCCTCATCCTCGACAAGAAGAGACTAAGAGCAATCTAAGGCGGCAGAAGAAAGCGCCATCTCAACATAGCAAACAGGCCGCTCCAACTTCACAAAAAAGAAGAGGGCCCCGTTTACCCCTCGGCAAGAAGAGACCTCCATTCTTTCTTGAAAAGGGGAGGACGCTCAAGAAGAAAGGGTGGAGCTCCCCCAATTTTCAAGTGGAGACATCTGGTCATCCCTCAGCATTTAAACGGAAAAAGCCTCATGCTCCAAAACAAGAAGGCAGTCCCCAGGTGATTTGTGGCAGCAGAAGAGAGCATCCTTCTTACCTCTTGGTATGTCGCCTTTTCGTCTTAAGAAGACTGAAGAGACCTCGCTCCTAGCAAGAAAGGACAGAGCTCCCCTAGCTTCCAAAAAGAAAGATTTTCTACCTCATCCTCCACAAGAAATCACTGAGAGCTTCCTCCCATGTAATGAGACGCAAGAGAGCTTCATCTCAGCCCAGCAGACAGGCCCCTCCAACTTCACGAGAATTCAAGGTCTCCGTTTACCCATCGGTCGGAAAGAAGATAACTCCTTTCTCTCTTCATAAGGGGTTGGATCTTGAGCATTTCTTTTACCTTTTCAAAAGATGGAGAACAGCATACGCACAAGAAGAAGAAACCTCCTTTCTCTCTTGGCAGTGGAAAGAGATCCTGATTACTTCCCTTACCTTTTCAAAAGATGGAAAAGGGCATACGCTCAAGAAGAAAGGGCGGCGATGCCCCACCCCTCAACGAAAACACGGAGAGAGTCCCTCCAAGTCATTCAGCTGATTTCTAGCAGCGAGCTCCTCTCTCTCTTGGTAGGTCTCCATCTCCTCTGAAGAGAATTGAAGGGAGCTCGCTTCTAGTCGAAGAAGACAAGGCTCAACGCATCTCCAGTTTCAATAAGAACTGCGGCTGCCTCTTCGTCGACAAGAAGAGAGAGGAGCTCCTTGTCGTCCCCTCTTCCTCTTCAAGGGATAGAAGAGGGATAGCTTTCAAGAAGTGAGGACAGAGCTCGCTCAATCTTCAAAAGAAAAGTCTGATCCTCCCCTCACCCTTCAACAAGACATGAGCAGCCCTCTACCCCATGCTCTGAATTAGCTTCCAAAAAGACAAATCCTCTGCCTCATCCTCGACAAGAAGAGACTGAGAGCGTCCTCCAAACTAATGGTACAAAAGAAAGCGCCATCTCAACAAAGCAAACAGGCCGCTCTAATTTCATGAGAAAGAAGAGGGCACCGTTTACCCTTCGGCAAGAAGAGACCTCCTTTCTTTCCTGATATGGGGAGGGGGTCCTGATTGTTTCCGTCGCCGTTTTAAAGATGGAAGAGAGCATACACTCAAGAAGAAAGGGTGGAGCTCCCCCCAACTCAAGAAGAAAGGGTGGAGCTCCCCCCAATTTTCAAATAGAGACATCTGGTCGTCCCTCAGCATTTAAAAGGAAAAGACCTCATGCTCCAAAACACAAGAAGGCAGTCCCCAGGTGATTTGTGGCAGCAGAAGAGAGCATCCTTCTTACCTCTTGGTATGTCGCCTTTTCGTCTTAAGAAGACTGAAGAGACCTCGCTCCTAGCAAGAAAGGACAGAGCTCCCCTAGCTTCCAAAAAGAAAGATTTTCTACCTCATCCTCCAC